CCCAAATCGATATCGATGACAGGCAGGATGACTGACCGCTCCTCCATTGCATCCTACTCGCACCCACAGCTGCATGTACATATGTACACACATGTGTACATGCTCGTAAGTGCAGTTAGTTACCTCTGCGGGTCAGTATTTGTCAGCGTTCTAGTGTGCTTTATGTATGCCTTTTTTTTTTTTGAATAGAGTTACAACAAAAAGTAAAGCTCCCTCTGATGTCGTCCGGTTTATGTGTGTGTTTATGTACGCAAGTCTGCGATATATAATGTACATAATTGTGTGTAATTACTGTTCAATTGGAAAGACACTGAATATACTAAATTGTTTGCCTTGCATGTTCAAGTGTGTGTGTGTTTGTGTGTGTGTGTGTAGAGTAGAAATAAGAGTTAAGAAAAAGAGTTGAATTCTGTTTTCTTGTTATTAAGGAGTACGAGTATAAGAGAAAGAGAGGAGAAAAACAATAAATTAAGTTAAGCTGTTACGTAAGTGAATGGTTTGTTATTTTACAATCTAATTCGCGTCAGTTAAATTCATACGATCATATTTGTACTAATAAGCTGAATGGTCCTACGGTACGGTCCACAGGCGGCCTGGCCCATATCAAATTTGTGGCTCACTTCATAACAATCTCAGCTCCGCCATTGGCATAGGAGTTCGAGTTCTGGCTTTGAACTGAGCCGCTCATTTGCGTAGCTAGGTTTTTCATCTCCCTCCCACTGTTGGAAGCTTGAGGTGACGACACACCCGCACCTCACATTCTTCACCTTTGGACAATTGACATTCGACAATTGACTTCGAATGTTCTTCGACCTGCTTTTACGTCATTTATTTTAGTGTACAACCAATTATCCGCAATCATCATTTTTGTTTAAAAATCGAGATCTAATCTAAAATTTTCTCCATTTTTTGAGCTATAGATTCTTGAAGACGTTTCTATGGTGGTGGAAGCATAAAGGATTTTGTTGTAATGGTTATGTTTTGTTGTTGTGGGTTTTGGTTTGTTCCTTTCATTTAAGTTGCATTTGGATTTGAGAGTTGTTATTTTATTTGTTTTGTTTAAAAAACGTTGGTTGTTTATTGTTAATATTAAAGTTCATTTATTTATGTTATGCACAGTGATGGACAAAAAACCAAAAAATAATATGATGAAACTATAATGGAAGGCTGTACACAGAGTTCGCCTTTTCGGTAGGGATAGTCAACTGTTTAGCTATCATCAAACTTTTGGTTCGAAATTGGTTTGCCGAGATGTGTATCTTCTGTACTAAATGTAACATATAATTATGGGAGTTTAATACATATGTACATATGTATGTATGGATATTTGAAGTGAGTTTTCTTTTTGATTTTGAGCAATTGCACATCGTTTATCGTATTTGCTCCGATAACGGACCAAGAATCTCTCATTATTAATCATAAGTATTGATCATTATTGGCACATGTACATATGTATGTCTGTACATATGTATGAGTTGAAAATGAAGGAAACGATTTTGGAAACTTTCGTTGTGAAAAGTATAAACTGATGGTCTATGCTATGTAATGAGGAGTAAGTATTTTGAGAAAATGACTTGAGTATGTCAGCTGTTTGCCAATTGAGAATCACTGCGACTGGCGTCATCGATTGGGACAATTTATATATTGGGAAGTGAGTATATGTATGGCTCTACAAAACATGTTTCTTGGGGCACACACGCTCACCCTATCGTTACATTAGTTGCATGGAACACTAAGGACTTTTGAGTATGACATTTTTGATTCTTCTGTGTACGGCCGCTAGTCTAACGCATTGATGAATGCACTCGTAGGAGAGGAGCACTACATGTTGATGTTGTTTTGTTTTGTTTTGTTTTGTTTTTTTTTTAACGTGTATACAAAGATATATGTATGATAAGAATTACGTTTGCTTAATAGGTATGTATGTATGTATGTATGTATGTCGTGTAAAATAATGATATTTACATGTATAGGTAAAACAAACAAGAGTTTGCTACGTATAGATGCTAATCTGATGTACATATGGTTGGTATTGGTTCAGAGCACGAGTGCATACATACATTTGTGAGAAACAAATGGAAATGCTGGGTGGTTGGAACTTTAAAAACACGTCATATGTAGAGTAGTAGCATACAAAATAATAATATTAACAGGATTTCTAGTCTACAACACTACATCGCGATTAAAAACGAACAAAAAAACCAAAAATAACGAATCGTCTGAAAGAGAATCTTACACAGATATCGGGTCCCACAAGATGGAATAAATTATAAATACAATATACCCCATTTACTCCTCGAGTACCGGGTATAATTAATAGATAAGCGATTCTAGCGATAATATCGGATTGTGTCTAGCTGAAACAATTCAAACGCTATCCAAATTCCGGTCGATATCTGGTACTTTGAGGACCTATTCAATTATTTATTACTTATAGAGCATGTATTTATTTTATGGTATGAAGTTCGGAACACACAAATAAACGGTCCAGTTTTTGTTGTTATGTTGGGTAAGAGTGATGAAAGGTCAAAGGGTCAGGCTCGAAGTGTACGATTAACTGCAAAATAGACGGTTATCGATTCCTTTTTGCTGAGGATAGTGGCAGCCAATCTATACTGCAAGGCAGAGATACTCAGCATGAAACACTATGATAAATGTGTATTGCCATGGCTATAAGTCGGGGTTCGAAGAAAATAAGTACAGCACCAGCACCATCAGACGACTCAGAACTCGTTCAAGAATATTTACAGCTTGACTAAGTATTGCTTGAAATAGAGAAAGACAGATAACGATACAAGGCAGATTAAAGAAACAAACTTAAACAAAGAGTATTGGGCCATAGTCGTACATATGTAGGACTAGATGTATGCATTTTGTATAGATGTGTGTATGTGTTTGTACATAATTGACATAATTTGACATTATTATTTACATTGTTGTCTCCCCTTGTGTGTTTGACGTAGTGGTAAAGGAGCACTAACAAGATTGCCATTCCTAGCTGCTTGTAAGTTTAAATTGTGGTATACATAAATGTGTGTGTATGTGGCTTCCCTGCGGTTGTGTTTTTGTCTAAAGCTGTGTTGACTTTGAGGTCGAATCCTCCGATCTACACCTTTTATTTACCATCCCTACATCGAAATTGTTTTTTTCATGTGTGTTGTATATGCAATGCAAGGCTGTGTTTTATTTCTACCAAAAGTCGAACATCGTTGAATAAATATTTAATATTAACCAATTGAAGTGCATCCTGTAATCAGCTTCTGGATGCTGCCATCCTTCAATTTTAGCCTTACAACGAATCAGCAGACACGTTCTTTACATACACGGAATTGCTACTGGAACTTAGCCATACATATGTTTTTTGTAAGGGACTTGGACGAGTTGGACTTGAGGTGAAGGAAGGTCAAGCTATGGGACATTTGGCACATTTGTGTTCCTGCATGCCAACAAGAACATTTTTTCTTTTACATTATGTGGTAGTGGTCCCTAGCAAAAAACCTCACTGGCACAAGCGAAACAGAACGGAACAGAATCGGAAATAACAAAATCAGAAATCCAAAATTATAAAATATAAAATATAATCGAAATTTCACGAACGATTGCATACGAATAATGTTTATCTACATACATTAATGGGTATGAATATAAGTACATACATACACATGTATGTTTTACGATAACTACAACAAAAACAAAAAAAAAGGAAATTAAGTAAATCAAATGAAAACTTTATAGAAGATGCATTGAATTGACCATCTACGAGTACTCCTATGATGAGCTCGTGCTCGGTAGAATGGGGTTCGGGTTCAGCGGCCATACCAGTCCTCGTTACAAAACAAAAGTACATACATATGTACATATATCGTACATCAACTATGTACATATGTACATTTGTATACCCAAGTGGCATAAGTACACTTAATTCACTCAGGAATTTGTGTGAGCGCATGTGTTCGGTGTTCTGAATGATTCAACGTGCGTACATAAATACACAGCAAATGTATGTAAATATGTATTTTGGTTGGTTGTTTTATGTACTTTGTTTTTGTTGTATGTATTGTGTTTTGATAAATATTTAAGTTTATGGCAAAATTTTCTGAAGTGGAAATAGTGCTGTGTGGGTGGCTGGGCTTGGCATGCAGTTTGTACGCAGTATTTACACGATAAGTATTGTGAAACTAAGTCAATGTGGATACGTGGGTATTTATTTAAATACATAATTGAGAGATCGTTTCCATAACTCAACAAAATGTATGCTTATGAGAATGTGTTCCGCTTTACCTTACTGACTCCTCATGCGGCTCGAACGCCCAACACCGCCACTTCAATTAAACGAAAACTCAAGATTGATTTGAGTTTGCTTCGATGTTCAAGTAAATATGTACATAATATGACCAGCAGCAAGTTGTGGAATTGTAGACCGGACGAATGGGTAACTGACGGGACAAAAAACAATGTGGGTATGTGGGCTGGTGTGATGGACAAAGCACAATCTTTTTTATTGTCTTCTGATACCACGATGAAATATTTTCCACTGGTTACTGGCATACTGGTTGGAGGCATGTTGTTCATTCAACTGTGAGAGAGGGCTTTTTCCAATCGAAAGAAAGTAGAGTTTATATGCCACAATGCCTTTACATTTGACAGAAACATGACCATAAAACTATCCAAATATTTTCTTTATATCGATGTAAAAATGTATTTCAAAAAGAAAAAGTTTACTTTTTGTTTTGATTAAATAATGCTTTCGATTACTAGAAAGATGACTCTTTAGAAATAATGTTCCAACCAGTCTTCGCAACATATTAAACTATCCAAAAACTGCATATTTGTGGGTGTTGTTGGTCCAGGAACTTAAATAAAATTTAAACAACAAACTACAAAACATATTTTGCGTAAGATTACAACCATTTGAAGGATACATCACAAGTTTTGCATTTAAAAGAAACTCGCATTAATATTTTGACTCAACTTTTGCTGATATATGAGTTTGAAATGATCGCCTCTGGAGGCGAATGACAGACTATACGTAATAAAGAGATACAGCGATACTTTAAGCAAGAAGAGACGAGAAGTAGCTGAGCATCCACTTGAAGCCGATTGAAACGTTACAACATCTTTGGCATTATAAATATCTCTGCTGATTAATGTACATAAAGAAGATTTGAAAACATTTTGGTAAAGAGTGTCCCACACTTGGTCGCATATTTTTCAACATTTTCACTTGCCCATGGTTTTATTCACTCATAATTTTGTATTCTTCCAAAACACACGAAACACAAAAAAACTTTGATGGCCGTATTCCACTATAATTTAAGATAAACCCGACGTCAAAGATAAGGAGAAAATCCTCCAGCTGAACCCTAAGGGGCCGGTTGGGCAGTGGGCACTGCATTATCCCGGCTATCTTGCCAAGGCAATGTTTCAGCTTCCTCCCGATCTGAAGATTTCAACCAAACAGCATGCCTTTACCGAAGGAAATCTCAGTCATTCCTTGCTGCATCTACCACGAAAAATCAAGACAAAAATCAGCCAAAAAAGTGCGGGGCCATACATCCGAAATATGTCTGAAGCAACGTTGAGCAACGGGATTATCAGATGACACTATTCATTCTTTCAAAAATGTATGCATCAAAACTGGTTTTGATATTTGGTTTAAAACTCTTCTTTTTGAAGTGTACGACCAAGTGATTGGTAGGCAAGTAAACTCTCATTAATTGGTGTTAGAATATTGTATGACTGCGACTTTAAATCTGTATATGTGTGGGTGTGTATGTGTGCGTGTGTGCCGAAGTTTACAGTTCATTGAATCTTGCGAAAGCCCTGACATTGAATTGTTACTTGCAGTCCATTTAAATAGTGTGTGCCCCAACTTTCGAAAATGATAAACTTCGTACTAGAAAGACGACAAATATAACGTTAACGTAAGAAAAACGTTTAATACAAACGTTGAGGCATCGATCGTGGCTGCGCGGAAAATTAGAATCTTTGCTGATTAGTTTCTGAGTGAATTGAGAGTGCGTTAAGAAGTTTTAGATAAGTAGTACTTAGTTGTGGGAGTCGAAGGTTTCCCTTTCCATTCTGTACTTACCAAGTAGCGGCACGGCGTCAGAGGTCGCCGGCATTGTTTCTGCAACCATGTTGAGGAAGACTGTGAGCGATAGCAAGATAGTGACTCCTAGAAATACGCAAGACATCATTAAAATGACAGTCACTGAGCTGGTCAGCTGAAGAAACACAAGCTCAGTAAGAGGGGCGGAAAAGAGAAAGCATGAAATCAAATACAAATTGTGAAATTATTAGATTTATCCTTGTGGTTACTTGAGTGCAATTCAAATGAAGATACGAGAAACAGAAGTTTATTCAGAGGTCTTTTTTGGTCCGGCTGATCCCTCAGTGTTCCTGCTGCTGAGTTTCTGCTACTTATGCATGAACGTACAAATGGGAGTGTGATGGTAATTGTGGTGCTGTGTTTTATTTTCACTTTTGCTTTTGCCGCGTTCAATAAAAAACTACTACCATATTCTCTGCGCTGAACCTCAAGGTCTGTTGGGGAGATTGTCGGTCCAGGGGGGTCTTTCTTAACGGGTTCCCAAGCTGGGAAGCTGGGCGCTTATTCCTACGTTCGTGGAAGGCTTCGACTAATTAAGGAGTGTTTAGCTCCGCTAAATATGTAGATCCCCGTTCGTTAGGATAATTTGGCTCTGTCTGACTCTGTAGAGTTTGGGTGAGATTTGATTTCCGTGCTCAGTCCTAGGAAGGAGCACCACTCTGTCCATCCTCTTTGTATGTAATCAGAGAAGGGGCAGATTGGATGTACAATGTGTGGCTTGTATTTTTTTGTTTTGTTTTTTAATCTGTGTTTTTTTGAATGCTTTTATTCAGAGGGGATTGTGCTCCACATATTTTTCTCTATTCCCTGGGGTTAGCAGCTAATTAATTCCCGGCTACTTTGCTACCTTACTTCAGTTGGTGCATCCCAATTGTTTTCGTACTTTTTTATTTACAGAGCACTGAACTCACTAACCCTTCAGAGTTTTCGTAATTTCCCTGATAAACGTTTGATAAGTTAAATAACAACGTTTTTGAGTTGAACAAAATTATATGCACACTTGAGCAAGTTTTCAACTGGGTAACAGGTACATGGGTTGGAAAAGTTCGGGATTTTGCTTAAGTTGGTGCTTCGATTTGATTTGATTAGATTTGGATTCAGCCGAGCCATTAACTGTTCATTAATCTACTGACAGTGGGTGGAAAACAGAGAGAGAGAGAGCGAGAGAGAAGGCTGAGAAAAGAAGGAAGGGGAGATAGAGTGTGTAGGACTGGACAACACTTACCAAGTGAGAGCTTCTCACCAGAATCTGGTGGAAGCGTAAACCCTAGCAGTGCCATGGATGCAATTAGTACGCACGGTACAATTAAATTGAAAAAATAGTAAAGGGTTTTGCGTCGTATCAGAATGGCGAATGTTATGTCAATATAAGGTTCTGGGCAGCAATTATAGTAGATTTCATTTCGTTTGCCGGGCACACCTGGTGGTTTGTTTGTTGGGATGGGAACGAATTGAATGACAGATGAAGGAGTTAGATATAGAAGAAAAGATTAAATATTAAGATATTACATTTGCATCGACAGGTGATTTATTCAAATTGAGTTTAATTATTCCTACAAATATCTCACCAGACTATGTTCGGTGTCCCTTGTTTTTCAACTTACCTAGCAGATCCCACTCTCCGTTTGTTATGAAGCTGGAAATGTCTCCTCCAGCTTCGTCCTGCAACTGCAGATCCAACTGTCAAAGTGAAAAATTAATAGAATAAAATCATAACTAAACGCTGTTACTTCTTGTTTGCTAATTTGAACACAAAACTGTGTAAAACTCTGTGGCCAGCCTTCTCTCTCTGCACCTGCCGCTTCGGCTGCAAGCATGATCGATTTGGTGGCGAATTGGTTTTTATTCGATTTCGGACAAAAATAGGTGCCAAAAAAGCTTGGCATCTTAAACATTGACTTTGAGTTTCATAAGAAAACTACACAAATACATTTTGTGCAAATAAAGAACAGTTGAATAAGGTAAGCTCAGTGAGAGTGCGGCTGCCTGAGATTCCCGTTACTTCAATCGTCGAATCTCTTGTTCTCTTCTCAGCGGCAGCCGCTTCTCTTGACTATTCGCGTCTTCCGTTCTCCTGCTCCCTCGGTCTGTTCACCGTCGCTTATGCGTGCTTACATTTACCGTTGGTTTGTCGCATTGCACAACGATCAAAATACAGGCGTGGGCTCGAATATTGCGATGGCTTATAAAATGCTTACATATGTATGTACAACCAGACCCATCCGCGCTGGTGAAACACAGGAGACTGTGCTCGGACTTTTTTTGGTTCACTCACCTGAAAGCCATCGTAGGTCCACGATCCAAATTTCATTTCACATCGTTGATCGTCAAATGGGAACCAAGTGATATCTATCTTGCACGTTGACTTGAAGATGCCCGGAGGAACGTACAAACAGCTCCCGTTATTGCGCACCACCACATTGGTGGCATAAGTGCCGTCGAAGCCCTCGTCTGCACTGCAATTTTCAAGTATAACAGAATGCATTGATTTATCAAATGGAATTTCATTAGAATTTTATTCTAGGAAAAGGGGTCTTGCGCTTGAAAGAGGTACATAATTTTAAGGTGCGAGAATTAACATTCTTGTCTATATGTATGGAAAGAGTGCAAAGAGGAAAAACTTTACTCACTGATAAACATAACTACATATTCTAGTCGGTCATGGTAACATTTTATATGCACCTACGCATATTTCTATACCCACCTGTTGTACATGAGAACATCCGGCTTCCATAAACGATGCGGCGGAATTCGCAAGTCCCGCACACCACCAAACTCACTGGAATTCCAGCGTAGATTCATATCATTCCATTCCTGAAATATGAGAAAACAAACATTAACTAGATATATTTGTAATTAAGAATATTTATATGCAAGAATGCATATACATATGTATGCATGTATCTATGTCAATTCATGGCAAATAAGAGACAACACAACAAAATGGGAATAATGGGTAAAACAAATTATTTTTCAGTGCAGCTTCGAGCTCCGCAGTTCAATAAAGTCTTTACTCAATTGGGGAGCCTTCGGAGGAAGCTGGAGATTCCAATAACAAGGAAAAAACATGCAAAAACTTTTACGCCACTTGACAAACATTGATATAATTAACGCATTATTTTTACTCTCAGATCTATTTACGAGTATAACCGAACAGAGGCAACTCTCAAAATATGATAAGATAACTTTATTGTAAGCAGTTCAAGAATTTCTAGATGATTCTTTATCAGTTTTGTACTATTATCTAGATACATATACATATGTATGTGTTTTTTGCAATTTTGCGTATTAATATATTGTTTTTTTTTTCAGTTTGTACAGAAAACTTACCAACTTAAGCCAAATATTTGTTATGAGCAATTGATTCTTTTCATCCTGCAAAAAGAGAGAGTACATATAAAACAGAATTAATTAGATGTTAAATGTGATTAATTAATTGAAACCCTTTCTGGAAACTTTAGTTTCCCGCACACATTATTTAGGTTAAAATAAGTTAAAATCGTATGTGCATGGGTTCATCGCACTTGGTCAGTTTTTTGTTTTTGGTCAGTTTTTCATGTTTTTTGCCAACTCAAAGCATTCGTGTTAGCTCCACTGCCTCCACTGACAAAGTAGAATCAAGCATCACAAAGCAAAGCTTTGAATCTTTTGGATTGTAGAGAAGGGTCCAACGACTGCTGGTCTATGGGTGGAGCTTCTTGTCTATAGCTTCGTCCATGAGCTGCTCCTGCATGGCTGTGCACCACCTGGCCATTGCCTAGATTTTCTCCACTGTGGTTTTCTTTCGTCGGACCTCACCTCGTCGGATTCCGTCTGCCCTACTTCACTACGATTCATTCAAATCGCAAGCTAGCCCCCCCGTACCAGCCGCCTCTCTCTCTCTCTCTCTCTCTCTCTCTCGCTTTGTAATCCCAAACTGTTTGCAAATCGACAAGGAAAGACGGTGTGCCTGTGCCATTTAATTAGCGTATTTCGAGGCTCTTTACATAAGAGAAAGGACTATTTACAATGCCGGACGAGCCTTATCTGGACAAGCGTGGCCGCACCTTATATCCGTTTCATCCAATTAATTCTGCTTTGTCACTGTCCGCACTCACCCACACCTCACACTCTCTGAAAAATACTTTAAACATTTGTTGCAAGATTTGCTGTATTACTTACCACATCAATAATTTGCATGAGCGTTAGTCCGAAACTCAACTGCAATGGATCTGACTCATTCACCACAGGCCGCTCCAAGCTGTTGTAGTTGTCCAGAAGTGCATGCAGCAATCGCTTCTCGTGGGGGCCGGCAAAGCAAGCTATAGAAATAATTACAATAAAACGGGGTAACATTTAAGCAGTAAAACAGTCGCTGCTACACACATGTTGCACTTCGGTATTTGGTTATTTTAAGCGGTTTGCAAATGTATTTTAATTATACGTAAAATGCAAACACAACTAACAATTTCATTTGCACATTCCATGACCCAAAGGCCAAAGATTTTGCATTCCTTTTTGGCCCCCAAATGGTTCCCTAGTTAGGGTATCTTTCATTCGATGCTAAGTAAACCATTTTCTTGCTGTTGCTTCTACCCACATTTGGCATTCATTGCTTGTGCCGTTGACCCCACAATTTCCGGCAACGGGTGGCAAAAAGAGACAGAAGTAGCACCGGAAGACATATCCGTTGGGTACAGTCAGGAGCCGGCGACAGCATGGAAATTATTGCAACGGTGACGACACAGGCAGAAGGCAAACAACACGAGCTAATAGCACTATTATCATGCTTGAGTATGCCTGCTGCCCCACCAACACTGTACACTGTGCACTTATCTAGCGAACAGAGAATACATTTCTCTTCAAGTTGTTATTTTCTCTGGCATATTCTGGCAACCAGTACGCATGCCTTTGGATGTGTGTTTAATTTAAGAATATTAACTAATAAGTTCTTTCACTTTGCACTGTTTCTGTGGAGATTGTTTCTGCTGCCTCTAGAAAACCTTCCTTTCTTTGATTCGAATTCTGTGATTGTTTAACGACTCTTTACAGCTCTTGGCCGATTACTTTCTAGACTAATGCAACGGCTGCGACAAGGTCTCAAGCTGTTGGTGGTGCTGGTGCTGGTACAAAATGTAGTATCCTGTTGGCGCTAACAGGTGACAGCAGTCACTAATTGGCAGAAAATCCACATGACAACAATTTGCTGAGGCATAAAGGTGAACGGTGCTGGCGCGGGCGCCGCGGTGCCCTCTGCTCTGATCGACACTCTGGTATTGTCTGTCGTGTGTTCTTTATTCACCTTTCAAAGTGGCACAGCCATACAACGATGTCAAGTAGTTTGTTTGCACATCTTCTGCTAACAATGTGTCCATCTGTCAACCAATTAATCAAACAATCTATTGAGCTCAACAGCGTGCAATAACAGACTGCCTGCCACCTGAACCACTGCAGGGACACTCAGAAATCCCCACATCTTCTGTTCTCATTGTTGTCCGAAAAACGAGACCCCCTGAGTTTCTGTGTCATCTACGGACTTTTTGGAGGACTTGGAAAGCCTCTCGAGTCCAAGACACTACAGTTTTCTTTTGGCAACCACCCCACTGCCCTGCCACTTGCATTCGAAAAATTCGAAATATACGCAGAGTAACCCCGAAGTAAGTTCAATGGCAGCACTGCCGACACATCAATTAGTTGCACATTAGCCAACAATTAGCACACCTCATAACAGTGGACGAGCCACGTCCCTGGCCTACCCAGAAGTTGCTAATCAAATATTTACACCAGACGGCCTGCATTCTCTACAGCACTTTCCCTCGTTTGCTGTGCTGCGCCTGAATTATTCAGAGAGAGGGAAAAACTTGATGTCTAATGGCGTTTGCTTGCCCGATTACGCTAGCGTGAGTGGCAGCGGTAAAGCATTTAAGAAGTTGAGTGCAGTTGCGCTCTCTGCTGCATTTTTCCCGCAGATGCATCCATGCAACCAGGTGCCGACTGCAACTAAACTAGATTTTGAGGCATGCCGTAGTTTGATTGGATGTCTGATGAACTGGTACTGGTATCATGTTTATTGTTTATAAGTAAAGGTTAATAATTGATTGGAAATGGTATAATGGTACAAGAATTTGATTTCTGCATCGTTCGACGCACACCTGGTCTCGCACACCCTTTGCCACACCTCTCGCCGATCGGTTGTCCGCTCTCGCTCTCAATTCGCCCTCCTTCGTTTTCTCTTTGCGTTTGCTCTCGTGTTTTGAATTCGCAGTGACGCGAATTCGCCCTTGCTCGTTTTGGTGTTTTCCCAGCCCACATACATAAATATGTACATGAAGAGGTCTGCTAAGTTTGATGTTTTGCATTTACAGTTTTTCGGCTGCTGCTTGTGTGGTAGGCACACAAATATTTTCAGTTGCTATTCAGACATCCAACCATACATAGTAGATAGTACATACATACATTTGTATGTATATAGGTTCGTTAGTGGTGACTTATGCTAATGCACTTTCTTGCAAAGTCGTCTTGACACGCTCGCAGCCTGGGCAAAGGGTAAAAATGTAACCAAAAGCGGTACGAGCCAGACATTAATAAGCTTCTTATGCATACGAGACCCATCCCACCATCCCACCATCCACTTAAGTATACGCGCGGCGCGTCGCTTCACTCTTCATTCTATTCGATTCCCCATCATTCACGGCTATTTCCCCATGCAGCTGGGTAAGAAATCAAGCTGCACGGTAAACTTCCTCATTTGCTTAACCTCCTGCCCAGCCCAGCAGAGACTTGTCCTTCGCAGCACACAAAGCTGCAGCAACGAAAGACACATGCTGGGGCGAGTGCGAGTATGTTGGAGTGCTTCCCTGACATTGCCTACTTATGCAAATGTCTAAAATACTTGGGAGTACAATGACAGAGCGCATCATTGCAGCCACAGCCCCAGACGGAACACAGCACGAGAAGTACTCCACTCTCTGCACTCCACACTCCACACTCCACACTCTACTCTCTAATCTCTTCTGGTAGAACAAATTAGCTGGCGCAATGTATGATGTGGAAGATACTCGTGCTGTTGCTTGGTTTTACTCATTCTAAACTCTTTTCACTGCAAGATTTGTGTGGTGGAGTGAAAGTGAACCCTTTCAAATAAAAGTCTTTGGGTGCTGGTAATCGATTTCTTTGCATGAGTCCATAAGCGAACAGGCTCGAGTGATTTCAATAGACATTTGATACTTGCTAAGTCTTGACTATTATTTGCTGGTACATCCTAGACGCTCAAACTAAATATTAAACAATTATTTGCCATTTCTTTCACTCGCCCAGAGCTACAGAAGAGTATTTATGAATATTTAGCAGTGCGCTCACCTGGCAGCATAACGAGAAATCCCAGGCCATATGCCAACCATTTGACGGCGTCAGAGGCGGCTCTAGATGATACGTATGGCTCCAAGAAATTCATTCTGTACAATTAAATAGATTTGGAAAAGACTTGTTTGACCGATTTATTGTTGTTTGTGTCCGGCCTCTGTGTCACTCGAGCTCTGACAGCAATCCACCCGAACCGTGGCCGATGGACAAGAGACAGGCGCTAACAGTTCTCCACGGCAAATGATTTTCCTTGCCTAATTCTTGGCCATTTTATGTCATCACAATCGGTTGATCCTCGAGCGAAGGGACAGTATGGGGCTGGAATGGTGCTGTTGTGTCGCAAGTCAGTGACTGCTCCTGGCTCTGATTATCTCGGCATACATTTCTGGGCGTTCAATTGCAGGTACCATTTATCGCTGACTGAACGGTGTCTGGTCTGTGGCTGTGTCTATGCCTGGGCGTAGGTCGGTTCGGTGGTCTCTCAATCTCTACCTTATTTCAGGCTGTCATGACAATCCGACAAGAAATATTTCTCGACGTTTGTGACACCCTCTAGGCGGTCGCTTGGCTTATGGGACAATCTTGTTCCTGTTCCGGATCAGTCAGGGGCTATTGCGTTCACTCAGATAATGGTCTTACCACACAGCTCTGTATTTTCTAATTGAATTTCCAGTCTGATTTCCTTTAAACAATGAACAATACAATTCCATCTCAATGCAGAGCTTTTCTTAATCGATGTCTTCGAGTGCTTATGATCAATAATTGTATTTTGTTTATTCAATAGTTGTCACAATCAACGCTCGATGAAAACTGTTTGCGTGGATCACAGCTGGCATTTTGTGGAGGAGCTGCAAAGGAAACGGAAATAATATCTCTTATAAAATGTGTATTTAAAAAGAGCGATACAATAATGATGCATTCTGACCCTTGTTCGGGGATCTGATATATATTGGTTGCTGCAGCTTTTTGTAGTCTATTCGAAATAGCCGACAAATAAGACGAACAGACGGATGAATACTGGACGATAGCTAGAACGAGTCCGCTATGGATGCTGAACAAGAATATATTTGATGGGGTCAGCAACATTTTCTTCTTCTCTCTCGTTTCATTAAGCGTAGAGTAAGCGCCCATCCATCCCTGATATCATTTCTAAACAATTATCGGGAGGGGGCCTCATCTTTTTACCCAAGTTTTCCAAACAACATATTCTCCGGAAAGCTACTCTAGTCATCCAACTTTTCACACTCTTTATTAAAAGCCAGGTCAGCTTTTTTATTAATAAACCATCGGAAACTCGGACGGAGAATTTCTAGACTAAGTCTTTCCCCGCCCTGTCACGAAAAAAGAGAAAAGTTTTTGTTTGCCTCTGGGTTTCTTCTTCTTGGACTTTGGCTTTGAGTTTTTGCTGCTTCTGGACCCAGGCCTTGTGGGGGCCCCGGAAAGTAGACTGCGAATCGTCGCACATTGCAGATTGCTAGTCGGCTCCTTAGCCTTGACATTTTCTGACCGTGCTGGGGGATTTTGTAAGCTTGCTGCTCAGCTCTCGTTGCAGGGCAGTGTCTAGCCGAGTAGCTTGGGTTTGCCTCAGACGATGCCCCGAGGACTGGACCCTAAAGTGGGCTCCTACACGCTTCAGGTGCGTTTTTGCCTCCTCCAACGGCTGCTTCGTGATTACTTCATAGCTGTTGTGTCATACAATATACAGTCTGGTAAGAAAGTGGCACGAGAGTGGAAGAATGACTGGCATAAGTCGGAAACGAACCACAGATTACTAGCAAAAGTAATGACATGTTTTTGTACAGCCAAGACACAACCCAACCATAAAAGATACCAAACAGAATCGCATCTTCAGTACATAACTTATTATAAATTACTTTTTCAATTTTGTGTACTCATTTATCACAAAGTTCTTCGACTTTTGCCGCGTCTTTTCTCTTTAAATCGGTTCTCGTGGCCTTGAAAATATCATTCACGTGGCTCCATTCACTTAGGAATGTACGAAAAGGAAAACGTTTTCGTTTTCAATGTGAAATATCTCGTTTATTGTGAGTGAGGCCCTAGCATCTTGAAAGCCGAATATCATCCAGTTTTATGTAAAAATAAGGAATATCGGCGATAGCTCTTATTACCACGTGAGTTGAAAAGTTCGCTGAGCGTCAGCAAAGTTTTCGGATAAATTTCATTAATTTGCATTTTAGTTTTGGGCTTTTAATGAAAGAAACCTAAAAAAAGGAGTTTCTGATGGAAGTGTGTAAAACGGAAGAACCAAAATGGAAAGCTTTCCTCAATACTTAAGTCAGCGACAAATAAAACTCTTACATAAATATGTACAAACGGATGTATGTATTTATGTACACGTACTTTAGTGGCCTTTCATCCATAAAACCTCTTGGATTAAGGAAACATTTTCGCTCGCTGTTCGAGTTCTTTCGGCGAGTTGCGAAACATTAATCGAAATGGAAGAGAAATATGTGGATACTATGGAAATTGTATTTGATGTCGTAATGATATTTGTTGAGCTGTGCCCCGTAAAGTCAAATCATAATCGTTGGCCCATGCCCAACCCATAACCTGCAGATGAAACTGGTGGTTGATTTATTGTTTGCCTTGTTGCGCATCTGAGCGGTGAATGATTGATTGATGAGCGTTAATTTAGCGGTACCACTCGGGTAGTGATAAGGGAGGATGAAGACACAGCCCCCCACCCCACATTACAAATCTCCACATCATTTTCCCATCGCTTTTTTGTATGCGCTATCACATGGTGGTACTTACACTTTCTCCCCATTGGCGTGAGAAGTATTTAAGGAATCAGATGGATATTCTTAAGTATCGATATCCAAACTCCACCAAACTCCACCAAACTCCTCTCCCCCCAAACTCCAGGTGCTCCAGGTGTCACAAAACTGATGCAGCAATAACTTAACCAGGGCCTTTTCTCAACCAAAAAGCTCTTCTTCTATGGCGGGGTGTGATTTTGCGCCCCATAGCCAGAGGGGAGCGCGCGGGAACTCAATTCTCTTTTCGCCCATGCTTCGTCGCTGACCGACATCCTGCTGCCCAGGTGGAAGTTTCAACTCAGATCCGTGGCACAGTGGACTAGCTAAAATTTCAGCTAGCTAAATTAATAAGTGAATGGGAGAGTTCAATGAATTTTTGCACACTGAAACCCCTTTTTAACTTTGAGTTACAATTTTCTTGAGGATTTCATTAGATGCGTATATTCATTAGAATATCCAAAGCGCTCATACAACTTTTCGACTTTTGCCACTTCTTTACGGCTGAGTCCCCACTGTGCCGCACCAACACCGACTTCAGCGCTGGCCGATGCTTTGACGAAGCCGAGTAGCATTTCAGAGGCGAAGGATAGACTAAAAGAGAATTGAAGTACTAGCCCCGCGCGCGCGCCCGTACCAATGAAGCGTCAAACGAAAATTGAAAAAGCATTTGCTCCTCGTGCAATATCTTTACATTGTATAGTCTCTGCCGGTACCGGCCATATTCTGATTGCTTGTGCATTTAACTGTATTATGCAAATGCAGTTTTTTGTGTGCCAATTCCTTTTACGATAAAGGTTTATTTGTCGAACTATTCAAGCATAACTTTTCTACCAAGTGAAGTTCCTGCCAAAGACATGGGCACAAAGAAACTCCAAGGGGGAACGTGCACTGTGACCTTGATGAACAAAAGAAAACAAACAAGAAAAATATGCAAAAATATGGCGTTTATCCTGTTGAATGTGCTGTCATTAAAGTTCCACAAAATGTAATAAAAGAATCAAAGGAACTTCTGTTCATAATTTATTCCTAACAATCATAACTAGAGAAACTCAATGGCAGAGTTACGACTTTTCCAATTTGAAAGCTTTGTAAAATACACGTAAAATGTCAACGTGTTAAAATATGCCAACAGCTACAGACATACATACGTACATGAATGAATGTATGTACATATGTACATATGCATGCATCTCGTACATCGCAGTCGTTGGAGTTGCGGGAGGAGCGGAGAGAAGCACACAAAAGAAAAAAAACAGTTATGCTTTGCACTCTGGAGATGTGAAACGGTTGCGGAAGGGACGGTTGAGGCGGGTGTATGTTATGCTTGGGGCCATCCTAAATACACAATTTAACAATTTGAAATTTCCATTTATTAACTTTTTCGCCTTAATAAAATTTGAGACTTACTTGAAACTCTAGCCCAAAACACACACATATTCGTACACACACATAACCCACAATGCTGCTGATTCGAACGAGGGGAACCGGGCACAACCGGGAATAAGGTTAAGGTATGCCATGTACGAGTACAGCATGTAGATGGGAAATGGAGATGGAAATGGAGTTGGAGTGGAGCGACTAGCTGGGGGGGATTAATAGCAGAGTCAACACGGAGGATAACACGCTTTAATTATGTATGTAGAGCCGAGTCGTGAGGTGCGATGTTGTGTGCGGCTGAATGGCGGTCGAAAACATCATCAACAACAACAACAACAACAACAACGCCACAAGCAGACAGACAGCAAGCAAGTTCCCATGGCCATGGAGTGCCAGGATATGCAGTTACGCGCCATTGGCCTAACGCCTACCTGGATTCCACCCACATGGAGGGAAACACCAATTACTTTCGAGAAACTCTTGTTCTGAAAAATGACAATTACATTTTGACATTTTCCTATTACTTAATTAATTACAGAGGCCTACAGGGATGCGGGCTCACAGAAGCTCCAATGATTGCACATCTCGGCCCATCAACTGGTGAGACTTCAGAGTAAGTCCAGGAATCGAGAATGAACAGAGGAGGGTCACAGGAAGAGCAGATCGTTAAAGATAACGAATAAAGCTGCATTCTTTTCGTTCAACAGAAACGAGAAACGAGAAACTACTTGCAATGTTGATTAATCTCTTAAAGAATAACCAAAATCTATCTTTATTTTTCATCTGGACCGCAAGTGACTTTTCCTAATGGACTTGGCGCTAGGAAAATATCAGTAAATTATGGTTTTAATTGAATTAACATTCAGCTGGAAACGTTCCCGTTTTGTCTGTTACATTTTCCGACCACAAAGCCTGTACACCCCTTAAATCTTGGATAACAAATTCTAAGTCAGTCAGGCAGCACTCGTGCCCACGGAGCCCAGAGTCTGGAGCGTTGGCCCATCACCCTAGGTCTCACTTTGATTTAATTTGGGCAGGTTTTGTCCAGTGGAAAAAAACGTAAATATCATAATTTGACCTAGTTCTGGTATAAGGATCGAGAAACGGTTCCTTTTCAGACATCCTTGACATCCAGACAGTGGTTTAAGCTGGGGGCTGTTGATTTTAAAACGAGGTCTCTACAAATGTGCATTTGAATGTAAATGGGGTCTACACTCATTTATTACATGCAAGATCTGACCAAATAAATATACAGCAAATCTAACAATTGTTTAAATAATTATAATCCCTTTGAATCACATTTAGATTGTACAGATTTTGAAGTAAAATCAAGCCAGTTACATGTTTAATGTGTTACACATTGCATTCATGTACTCGTAAGTGCACCTGTGCAATCTGTTCAAATAATTTAAGTGCTTCCAAACAACAAATAGCCCGGTGAACTGGTGTTAAATGCCATAACCGAGTCTCGAATAATCAGCAATATTTATGTCCCATATTCTGTCAATTACATGTGGGACTATCAGAGCAAAACTAAACACATTACATACAAAGCGGAAAACCACTCGAACGACTAGCCATTTAGGCATTAAGATGGCATCGCACCTGATGTTCGTTACAGACATGTATTAAATCTATGAGTAATTGAGGACAATTAATGGTTTGAGTTGCCTAATGGCTCCACAGGATTGTAAGTGACAACTTTGCTTGTTCATATTTAACGCAGTTACACACATATGCGAGTTGTTTGACTTGTTGTTAAATTGTTTTCACTTACCAGTCGCAATATTTTACCGCTGTGGCAGTGCAAATGTCATTGACGGTTTGGTTTGCGGTTTATTTGTTATATTGTATAGTATACGTATTTATTTATATCATTTGTGTATATACTTTGTTCTCGGCTGGAACTTTAATTCTGTGCAGAAAACCGATTGGGTCTCTGGCTTCAAGTGGTGCTCATTGAATCCAGGGCAACAATGGGTGACAATCAAAGGGGAAGCAGTTGCACGAGAAACGCAATCGTAATCGTATATTTGGGATGACTACAAACTTGACTTAAATTGCCATAATGACACAATTTCTGCTGACACAGAAAATCCCTTAAATTCCATTTTTGGTGCTTGGCAAGTCGCTTATTGTGGCACTTGCATCTGTGGCGTTGTATTTTATTCCGGGCCCATGGTGAAGAAGCTTGAATTTTGCTGCCCAAAAGTAACAACAAAAAAATTGCACGCCAAAAAAAAGATGAATGATCAGCCTGATCTCTTGCAGATATTATTGCGCGTCGAATTTATCTATGTATTTATTAGTCCCCTACGTTTTTGCAGTGCTCTACGTACGTACGTATACATATGTACTGGCTGCTTACTTCGCACGTGGTGGTCCGTGTCCGAACGCTTTTTGCTGGGTGTGGGCTCCTGGTGCTCCTGGTGCTCCTGGTGCTGCTGCTGCCAAAAACAGAACTGCCTTTGCCTTCCTACTCCTGCGGGCTTCGACCTCGACCGTTTCGACCACGTACTCGACTGAGAGACGGAAAAAGCGACGGTGATGCAGGCAAGCGATGCACGAGGCCACACGATTCCACAACTACTGCGACAAGAGCATTGACAGCGATGTGACAGCTACAGCGACAGCACCAACGACGGGACGATACCCACCGACTACGGAAAATGAACAACGACTCACGACACACGACACCACACGATGTGCTCACTACGCAGCCTCGACTAAAAATGAACCGCGTTCTCTTGCCATCTGACAGAGGCAGGCATTGCCCGTACGTACATAGCTCGGCTCTCGGCTCTCGTCTCTCGTCTCTTTCTGCTCCTGATAGTTGGCCAGAAACATTAAACCGACTAACAGTCGATGCTCGGATCCTGTTGCGACGCAGCCACTGCCACTGTTAACTGTGCTGTTGCTGTTCTACCGTTCTGTTAGGAAAAGTAAACAAATAAAACTCGGAGTTGCCCTTCTTGGTGGAAGCTCCAGTTCCGCTGCTCCGCGTGTTTCTAATGGTTGGACCGTTGTACCGCAGGGACACGCACTTAAGTTTGCGCTCCTTGGGAGTTCCACTGGAGCCTTGGATGCCGAAACACTTGAAAACTCTTTATCACAAACAATCGTTCTCAGCGCTGCTGTACCGAGCCACGTGCTATGTCAGAATAATCCATAATCGTTCACCCCTTCAAAGTTTCCCCTTTCATATTTAACATTTCTCTGTTGTCGTGAATTACATACGGCCCACATTTGATGTCTTCCCCGTCAAACTGTTATACCTCTTGTGCGTACATATGTAAAACTGTATGTATGTATTTATACTGAATGCATTCTTGGTTGCCTGAAAAGCCTAAAGCTGCTTATGACAATCATGTCAGAACCCCATCAAATGTTTCCCTTTCATAATGCACCACATTGGCTGGTTTCCCCTTTAAACGGTTATACCTATTTTCAGCAGCTGGCTACATGTGTACATTTATTACTTACATAGGTATATACATTGATAGATACATACATATGTCCATATGTATGTAGATTCCTCAATTCAATGGATTGGAAAAGCTTCCTCAACTACTTATGGAGAGCCCTTAGTACCAAAAATAATCAGGAATATAGAGTCCACATGCGCTTGCAGTATTATGGAAAAGGCGTGTGGTTACCATAAATGGTACAACCATAAATGTACTTACTATTGTTTACCACAATAAAAGCATCAGAAGATGCACGCCATAATCGCCATAATTTAAGCTTGGAGTAGAACCGTTGTCCTGGCTTTTTTATACCTTTTTAAGCCTTTGAATTATTCCAGTAGATGATTATTTGGCGTAAGTCTTAAATAGTCACGCTATAAAGCAGCGTATTTCGAAACCATAATTTATAGCGAAATCAACTGTCCCAAAAAGTCTATGTACGAATTTCTCTGCACAATGTGCTTCTGCCAGAAGCTTTAAGCTTAAAACCTTAAAGCTGCACGAGCACGAATAAAAAAAGGCTTTAGATAGAGGCGCTAAAGAATGTCATAGATGCTGCACCTGCGTCAATGCACCAATGTAGAAAATGTGTAGAAATTACATTAAAAGCAATGTCAGCATCTATTTTTTTTGTTATACTACGGAGGTTCATGCGGTATGTTAGTCAGATCCAACTGCGGTCACACTGGCCACGTTCGTTTATCTACCGAATGTTTGGCCCTGGTTCGATTGTACATTTTTAAAATATAAGGTCATAAAGTATACAATTCAATAGAAATAAGTATTTATAATAAGCAAAATAGATTCTCCAATCGGATTAAATTATTGTTTCAGTGGTGAAAGTCTTTTCAAGCTAGTAATATCAAAAATAACATCAAAATCAAAGAATCTGATTTAAGACTATATTTTGAAGATGCAATGGTATATTTTGGTATATTTACGTGGCCGTGACGGTATATATTATCGATAATTTCGCGGTCACAAATGTTTGGGCCTGTTTGGATCTTTTTTTCTGATTTCCGCTAATATATCAAAGATAACGGTACCGCTGGCAATATTGAGGAATGTTATATTCATCAGTATACTCAAACAAAATTTATCTTTTGGTATATTTCTAAGGTTTGTGTGGTATGTTCGTTAGATACGGCTACGGGCACACTGGCCACGATCGTTTATCTCACAAATGTTTTTACCTGTTTCGATCATTTTTTCTGATTTCAGAAAAGTAGTTCCGCCAATATATCAAAGATCAAATTATATTATAAACATAATATATTATCATTGAGTCGGGTGGAACGATCTTCCCGTGTTGATCATCTCAAAATATTGTTCTGCTTTCGTTGCATTTTTTTTATCGTTTGTGCTGGTGTTTTTGTGTTTTTATTTTTGTTGTTGCTTAAGCTGGGAGTTTCCCACACCCACATACACGCATACACGCATACACGCATACTTGCACACGCAACACTGTTGCGTGTCGTCACGCAGAAACAACAAGTTTTTGTGCATGTTCCGGTTGCGCGCGTCGCTGCAAGCACTAGACTCTGCAGAGTTTTGTTTTTGTATTGTTTATTGTGAAATTGTGCAGATCGGGAAAAAGGAGCGGAGCAGAGTTGTCCGTGAATGTTGTTACTAAGTTTTGGATTGTCTGCAGCACTGCCTCGCCGCTCTTCCCCTAAGAAGCTCAACCAGCTTCCAGCTAACGGATATCGGACCCAAGGTATGTTTCATGTTTACGGTGGTGGTAAAAAAAAAAGAGATCTTGCGGGCACCATTAGCTCGTGTATGTGTGTGTGTGTGTAGCTCTGTCAGATACTGCGTCACCGTTGTCACACGCGCCTTTCATATGCAGCGAGAACTTTCACTTTAGCGTGAGGGGAAAAGCGCAGCCAGACGATTCGGAACCCATTTCAGTTGGAAGTCTCTACTGGGAAACCAACAAACAATCTCGTGCGCTACCTGCCATCCACAGGTACTTTCCCCTCATCACATTTTCGGGCTATGTATTCATCAGGCTCGCTGCTTTCGTCTCTGCCCAGCCCAGGTAGTGACCGGAGAGCATCAGCTGCTGCACAGCGTGCCCAACCTTTCTCCATTGTTAGGCTGTGTTTTTGTGGCTTCCTTCTCTCTCGTCGCTTCGTCCTCTGTCCCATTTCCGTGTGCTAATCTACCATGTTCCAGGCAGGTGTTCAGTTAAGATTGTAGCAGCTCAATCACAGTGATTCACAGCAGTTATCGGCAGCACAACAATTATCGTCTGCGGGAATTATGGACATACATTTGGATGGCACATTTGTTGGCTATGGGATAAGTTGAAAACTTCGTGAATTTAGCAAGAGGAACTTTCCGGCTCCTCCAAAAAAACGGGAAATAATAAACTGGTGGGTGAAATGACTCTAAAAATGTACAAAAGTAAAAGCCAGTCGCATGAAATTGGAATTTATGCCCAAATGCACTCATGGAATCTGTAATGACAACTTCCCCTAACGCTAGCTTCGCCTCTCCACCTGAACATAACATATGTGTGTGTAAGTATGTGTGTATCTCTGTCTCTGTTACCCTAGGACTTCCCCCTTGGCGTCGTGTCGGCTGGCGAAAATGTTGAAACATTAACAAAGGTTATTCTCAGGAGGCAGTGCCTAGATGCCGGGATATAAATGTACTCGCTCCAGCCTCAGGTGGGGGCTCTTTTGCCCAACAGTGTGAGCATTTTCCGGTTGCTTTTTCCTCAGTACAATTGTGAAATTGTAAGCTATACAATTTTTTGCTTGCATATTCTACTTTTCGTACACTTTAATTCGGTGGGAAAGCTGCAGAAATATGTACGTACATGTATGTATGTACGTAATATGTACGTATGTACATATGTACATCTGTTGTAATATTCACGCTTTATTGCATTTCAAGACTGATTTCTATGGGTCATGGACCGCTTTCGGACCGGTATACTCGTACTGCGGTATTGTATGGCAGCAGATCCATTTCTTTACATCTGCTCTGCGGTTGCTGGCCTACCGATTTCCATGCATGTGCACACCGTACCTCAGTCGAACGAAAAGTAGCAAAAAGCAATTCAATCTCAAAATGAAATGAGTGAAAATAATCAACTTTCTACAATAACGATGGTAGTCCGAGTTGATGCCCTGCTCCCCTTTGGTTAATCTATTAAAAATGCATTTGTTAGAGCGGAGCGAGAGGCAGTTAACTAGCGATTGCCCATCTTCATATGTACATATATGTATAACGAGGAGGAACGTTGTGAGATGCGTTTGTATGCGTCACAACTTTAATGCTCAAAGAAAAGCCTTTCGTGGAGTTTTACATTTATATCGTAGTTGGGCCACAAATATGCCCAATACGCCTTGCTTATTTCCGTCTTTTTATATGTATACATACATTCCCATGTCATGTGGTATCCACCCGCACCTACCGCGGACTTCTCTTGTCTCTGGCTGTCTGGCTGTCTACTCAATCACAGCGTAAAGCACTCCTGAGTCATAAAAACCCGGCCAGAGAAGATGCAGCATTATGCGGCATGCGGCATGCGTCAGGGGTGGGGTGGCAATCATAGAGGAAGGCGATAAAAATGACACATGCATTGAGCTCTACTCCAACGCCTAAAAGGAATGGGCCCCGGCAACGACATTTTGCACTCTGCGTTTAATGGGGAAGTGAATGGGGATGCCGAAAAGGCGAAAAGGAAAGAGAAAACAAATCAAAATAAATATTTGCACGCACTATTGTGGATAAAACGAGGGATGTATTCATAATTTGTGCAACCAGCTACCTAAATACGAGTGTAAGCCATAAAGAATTCACACAAAACAGAACCCAAGTGCACTGGATGTACCAAGGATGTAAACACATATTTACCGGGTACCTGGTGATCATCTTGCATACATTTTCAGTTGCTTTCAAGACAGAGTTGCTGCTTTACGTGAACGTGAGACATGTGGTGGAATGGCGTATCCAATATCGATCCAAGTATCAATATATCGATGTCGGTGCGTCCTTCGTTTTTAGCCTTTCGGTGGGATAACTTACTTGGTGGAGGGGACATGCAACATCGACAGACTTTAAGTATCTTGTTCGGGGTCTCGTAATTGGGATCGAAAAAGTCCTAAACCCCCACATTGGCCATACTCAAGTCCCTTCCCTCCCACCATCGTGCAACAAAACCACAAACACCGCATGCCCTTGGCTGTCGTTGGTTGGCCACTTGAGCCCTGGCATAACCTGTACTTACCTGCTCCGCCGCCCAGTCCCAATCTGGACACTCCGCTAGCTCGGTCTTGTGCCCTGTGCCCTGTGCCTAGTGTCTCGAGCCCCCCTTCTTCACTCCTTCTCCACCATGGGGCAGTTTATTTTGGCCTTTTCGTTAGCGGTTCTCGGCTGTGTTGCTGGTCACTTGCATCACGGACACACAAACACACAAAACCAATCATCAAGTTGTTGCCAAAGAACGAAAGGAACGAAAATCACGAGAAACAAAAATCTGATAAATTGATTAAAGTTCTTGCAACGCGGCAAGCGGCATCAATTACTGGTTACGACGTTACTGGACGTTTGACTGTGAAGAGCTGGAGCCAGAGCCAGAGCCACGGCCGACGCCGCATGAGAGACCAGCAGCAGGCCAAAGTCAGGTGAAGGAGCTGTGTTGCATCAGTGGCAAAGAAGCAGGATGATGAGGCATGTTCGGTTCGGTTCGGTTCGGTTCGGTTGTGGCCAAGTTAAATATGATTATAGCGCTTGCATTTAGTTTCCAGCATGTATTCGATAAACATTTCGTGGCTTTTGTCGGCTTGCTATGAATTCTTCGTGTCTTATCTTTGGCGTTGTCTAAGGACTTTCTTAGAAAAGGAAACCCTTTGAGAAATTGTTTACAAATTCCCATTTTTCGCAGTATTCTTACAGATTCGAATCATGGACACCACTCATGGGCGTCTTTGGGAGCTATCCATTGAGTTTTATAAACGATAACTGAAATAAAAATACTTTTGAATCGATTTCTGTTTAAATCAAAGTTAATTCTTTTTATTTTCATTATTTTTGGCTCCAAAAACTGCAAGTTTCAATTGAATGTTTCGGTTTTTAATTGAACGTTTTACCCTTTGATTTTACTTACATATTTCTCTCGTTCTTTTCTTGTCTTGTCTCTTTTTTCCTTTAATTTGATTGATGATATTACAATTTGAAGTCACGTGTTGCAAGGGCCCCCGTGCACCCCCCAGATATTCTGTTCTGGCAGCAAAGAAAGCGCTTAATTGCTTTTGAATGCTTTCCGTAAGCTGAGAATACACAGAAACGTGGGCCGGACTGGACCGGTGGAGCGGTGGAGTAAAGTGGTGAAGCGGACAACGAACAGCTGCTGTGGTAGGTGGGGTTCGGTTGCTTGTGTAAAAAATGGAAAATCATTAAGGCAGGCAGGCAGACACGACAGCACCGCACCGCACCGCACCGCACCGCACCGCACCGGCCACAAAAGGCCACCAAAGATCTTGCGTCGCGGCTTGGAACATTTCGGGAAGGAAGCCTTGAAGTGAAATGCCAAACAGCTGAAACATTTGAAAAGAGATTCGGCGGAGGCCCAACCAGAGCCACAGCAGCAGCGCAGCAAATTGTGTTCAAAAAACACTTGAGACCTACTTCTGGCACCCTTCTCTTTTGCTCGTTGCACAGAGTGCATAGAAATGCCAGCAGGAAAGTGCAAAATCGCATCGCAAAATCCAACCACAGAGTCGAAGACGAAAAATGAAAAGTCAAGTACCTTTCGAGCAGGAAAAACTACAAGAGTAAAAAACAAATATTCTTTATGTTCGCTATTTCAGTTTCGACGCATTCACTTAGATTTGATAAATGCAATCAACACACAGCTGCTGCATAGTGCAATGAATGTTTTGTTTAATTAATTTTGTAGCTTCGCGTGTTGCGATAATATTTCTACACACTGTGTATTTGGCCATCTCAGACTGCGGTTTCGGCTTTGACTTTGTGTTTGTGTGTTGTCACGATGCCCGGCAGGGGCATGGAGTAGATTATTTTGCTGCAAATGACACATTTAATTGCTTAAGCATCAGCAGCAGCAGCAGCAGCGGCAGCCACCTGCAGCGCTTCAATGGTTCTCATGACCCACCAGACGAAGCAGAGACAAAGCAACTGTTTCAAAAAATTAAATTAATTTTTTGAATGGGGGTGCTGCGACGACAATGGTTCTTCGTCGAGGAAAGGATAGAGAGAGAGAGAGAGGGAGAGAACTGGGAAAATAAATAAGTTACGGAGCAGGCTGTTGATTGAGGTCCATTGATTCATGTTCAAAAAGATACAACGATTTCCACGGAAGGAAGAGTTCAGCTCAGTTCGATTCGGTTTGGTTTTGTGAAGATGTTGCCTACCTGTGCCCGACCCCGGGGTCCCTTGGAGTCTGTCCTAAACTGAAAACTGTTGTTTAAGATCTGAAGATCGCAAAATCAAAGGAAAACCAGTTTGTGTTCTCTTTACGGATTTGTTCAAGCCTGCACCTGCCTTCAGCCCTAGAAATCGATGCACAAGCGGGGATTCAAATGCACCACCATTCAGGAGATACGACTACACCAGAGGCAGACACGTTTGTGGTGCCAAAATTGGTCTGCATTCATATCGACCGAAATTACCACAAAATGGTTGCTTAAATGGCCATCATCTGTTATGCAATCCGGCCAATTCTCCACTAACCAAACTGGAATGTAAAGGAGAGCATACATATACATGCATATGTACAAATGTGGTTGATACACATATGTATTGCGGTAGATAGCATTTGAATTTGTATTTTAATGCATTCAAATGATTTAAAATATTTTTTTTTTTGTTATTATATTATGTTGCGGCATATCCAAAGTAGACAATTGGGCATGTCCAGTGGAACAAATAAATTAATTAGAGATATTTGTTCAGGCCACCAGCTTGATGAATCCTCCCACGTCTGACATTTCCCTTTGGCAAGCGTTACGCCCTTCCTTTACGCTTTCTCTTTCTTCTTTGCTCATCTCCTTTGGCTCGAATCCGCTGTCTTTGCAAAGAAATTGCTAAGGCAATTACCAGAGTAAAGCGAGAGAGGGACGGAAGAGAGAGAGAGAGTGCCTCCTCCTCTCCCGTTCCGTTTTGCGCGGACACCACTTCTCATGCTGACCCTCTCTGACGCGAGCTTTGATAGTGTCCGAATGCACAGTGGGCCAAAGTAGAAACTTACAGACAAAACATAACGGAAAGATAGAAAATGTGCAAATCCCCACTATTCCACTAGAACTGTTTGTGAAGTCTGCACAATTTTAATTTGAAGCATCTGCAACTGGTTTCCTGCCCATTGTCCATTGTCCATTGTGCTTGCACCACTGTTAAGTGTTGGCTGCTCCCTCTCGACGGTATGCGGCAACCCCTGGAAGGTCTTTGTTGGCTCTTCGCCTTTTGTCAATTTTAAAAGCGAATGGTAATTTTTTGCTGCAAAAAAAAAAACAAACTGTAAACAAGAATTTGTTCCTCTTTCGACTGCAATTCTGGGCGCCAATTACAAACTGTTGCATATAACCCCCCGCCACCCATGGTGCTACAATGTTAACGGAGATCTGCATGGATCCTATGGGTCGGCGGCACCTCTTAATATCGATCGAAACCAATCCTTTATTTCCAGGAATCGCCACAAATATGCCCTCAAAAGGATTTTGTGTATATGTCCACTGACAGCATAATTCTATATACTATAGCTTGCATTTATTTACAACCAAGTGGTACGCAATAGATACTCCCATCGAGAGCTCACCCTGCTGCTCTCCTGACTTGACTTCTTGCGGCTTGGAAACTATGTAAACTTCGAGAGTATACAATGTACTCGTACCGAAGCGAACTTGTCTTCCGTTTCTGTTTTTTGTCTCACTTTTTCGCTCTTGTCTGTGCAATTTCAATTTCGTTTTTCTCCTGTTTTGCTGTTTGTCATGGCTGTTGTTTCCGTTGCTGTTGCAGCAGTTGTTTGACAAGCGCCACGTACATGCACCATGTTCCCTGCCCAGAAGATGGACTGCACGGAGCAGCGCTGGATACAAAATTAAAAATTATATGAAATCAACAGCAGCAGCAGCAGGAGCAGGAGCAGCAGCATCAGCAGCAGCAGCAGCAGCATGGCTGGCAACACGACCATGCCAACCAAGGGGCAACTGTGTGTTAGCTGACATGGGCATTGGCCAAGAGTTAGTTCAGACTCAAGCCGGGGGACTGTAGTTTATGACATGTGCACGGACCCAGGAAACGAAGTAAGAAACACACAAATGGAAACAATTACACAGATTGGATACGACAAAATAGGATTCATACTAGAAGCTTCATAGATACGAGAAAGCGCGAACTATTGGCTGGATCGGTGTCTCAGAATGAGACTTGCAACTTGTAATTTAGATTTTCATCTATGCATTATGATTCCACTGTTCAGTAAAACTCTGCTTAAAATAGTAAACTAAGTTCAGGAAAAGCACCTACTCCCAGTCCCCATTGGCTCCAATTATTTGGATTTTTTGTTTATTTACGCTGCAATCAAATTGTTCTACAATTCATTCAAATGAATTCGAATTTAAATTGGATTCTCCTTTATTCGAATGCCTTAATTAGATTATATTCGCTGTTCGGCTGCAAAATATTTGTAGAACGCTCCGCCTTGCACAACAGCTAAGTCTGTACGTATTGTTCTCTGGTTGGGTCTGTTTTTGACTGGTTTTTTACGTCCTTTGGCTCATGGCTGACGCACTACGTGTAGAGGCATCTCCCTATGTGTGCTTCCCCCCCCACTGCCCCATTGTCATTTATGCAGCCAGCAATATGACAAACTTCGCTGCAAGCAACCGCAACAGGGAAAACAATAAAAAAAAACAAATTGAAATGCTGCAGCTGGCTGTTTCGACTACTTGATGCCCCTCAATATTTCAAATATAAATCAGTTTTTGGAGGAGCCCATAGTCAGATTCATTTTTGGAGCATATTAGTCGACAAGTGAGTCTAAACGGGACATCCTTTGTGATGTCGCCTGATCGACCTTTTATGCATTTACATATGATTCGTCCAACTTTCATGAGGCTTTTAGCACGGGCGCTGCATGCAATACGAGAGCGCAGGGCAAGCTCTCGGTGTCTAAAAAAACAGGAAGCAGAAAGGGTCCCCGCTCAGCGTGGAGTCAATTCAGTGCATGCAAGGCTACCAACCCTCTGTAGCCCCCTCTTCTGCTCCCCTCTTGCATTCTTTTAACTTGCAGCTTTTGCGCATTTTCTTTTCATGAACTTTTATTATGACGTCAATGGGTGGATGCGTTTAATTGATAGCAGCTGCTGTAGATTCTCTACTTTTCTATCCAGCTCTCCCTGTCCTATTTCCCTCCCTACTTACTTAGTTCTCGTAGACTTTAAGGGGTATACTAGTCGACAGAGTACTCAGTACAGCCAGCATGTTTGTAAGTAGGTAAGTTGTGTCGCTTTTGTATTCGACTCACAACGTTCCTCCACCTTGTTTTATTCTATTCTTGTATCCGACTTTCATTGCCCAGCTACTGTGGTGCGTACTTGTACATATAAATATGTATTTTTATGCAAATATTTCAGATGGAAAGCAGTGAGCGTTGAAGGTGGGGGTGTTAAGTTGTGGAGAGACACAGCTGCAAAGCCGACACAAGAATTGACTATTTTATTGCCATACATGCGATACATGGAGCCGCAGCCGCAGCCGATACACTTCCGCAGCCTTTGGCTGCTGTTGTTTTCTTTTTTTTTTATACTTTCTGCTGTTGTTCCTGTTACTTTTATTGCATTTGCCATTGCCGGTGAGGACATCAGGATTGTTGTTGGTGAACTTGTTGTTGTTGTTGTTGCTCCCACAAGTTTTGTATTTAAAATACATCATTTTAATCGCAGTCTATTCTGTTTTGTTGCAGACACGCCAGCTGTATAGGTTCTGGAAATTGCGGTGCATAGACAACGGAAATAAATAACATAACATACATATATGTAAATGTGTGTGTGTATAAACCTGCAGCATACCTAAATAGGTACACAGAGACACGCGAATATGACTGTCAAATTAACGAAGCTATTTGGAGGCGTGGGTCTAGTGGGAACTGGCTCCGAAAGCGTCATGGATGGCAGCCATCAGCCCGTGACACACACGCAAGCTGCACCGCTGCAAGAGCTACAGCAGCAGCAGCAGCAGCAGAAGATGGATGCGGGGTCTATGCCGAAAACGAATGCAAATATGAAGAATCTCAAGTACTACAATCACCTGCAGGCCACTTATGACTGCCACGAACTGATGCTGAACGAGGAGGACGATCGGGATGACTACGAGGATAGCATGTCGCTGAGCTCCGGCTGCATGCAGCGCCATCATCCGTGCAACAACTCGCAGCGGCCACTGCTGGGGGAGCGTCGTCCCCAGCTGACCCTCATGCCTGTGGGTCAGAAGAAGGCGGTGGGCAAGCCTTTCCGGCAGCACGGCAGTCTTCCCCCACTGCCACCGCTGCCGCAGCAGAAAAACCACGCGACCGCCGCTTACATCTCGCCCTATGTGCATCAGCAGAAGCGCGACAGCGCCAAGGGACTGCACGGCTTCAACGACTTCGACGCCCTGTCGCAGCAGTACAACCAGCATCTGCAGAGCCCACACATCGGCTATCCCTATGGAAGTCCGCCCTCGCCCACCGCCCACTCTCGGCTTTCGCGCGACTTTTGCATCGACCGCCAGCCGGCACAGGCCGCGTCCAGCAACTCTTCCAACTGCAGCAGTTCGCTGACCACCTCCAGCTCGTTGCCGACCACAGTCCATGCCTCCCGGTTCGAGGATGACTTCTGCATGCGTCGACCGGCTGATAAGTCGCCCCCCACAGCAGCGACCAGCTGCGCCTCGGGTCCCTTCATCTTCGGCATCTCGCCCGAACAGCAGCTCACGGACTACGGTTGCACCTCAGCCACCCCGACATCCTCGAGAAACGCCCTCCAGCCTGTGATAGCTCCGTTCAGAAAGGAACACAAGCCTTTGGTGAGTTGGAAAAGCAAGATCAGCAGGAAGCTCAGCAGAATGCAGAGCCAGTTTATCGTCAGATTTGTATATATGTTTACATATTGTTTATGCAAAGCATCGAAATGGATAGCGAGGTTGTTGCGGTTTGCACATGGCGCCAGCAGCCTCTCGCACTCGTACGTCGACTCCACAATCGAGCGAGTAACACAATCCGCGACGAGCAACCAAATCAAAACCGCACAAAGCCGAACCGAATCGAAACAATAGCAAACAGCAACCTGAGCAGCGTCTTACGTGGCCATAAAGGACGATCAAAAATAGGGGGGGAACTAACTCACTCGTATAATGATTTTGTTTTTGGCATTGGCAAACCCAATGAGCATTCGATTTTTTACACTGGCCAACAATTCCACAATGAATATGAGACAAAAGTGAAGCCGCAGCACTTGCCACCTTCAGCTCTTCCTCAAAGCCTTCGCGTTCTGCTTACGAATATGTACAGGGAACGGAACATACATAAATAAGACTGCCTGCTGGCTGGCAGCCATTGTATTGTTGAGAATTATAACACTTGAGATGTGACTTAGCTTCTAGCTGGGGCGAAAAACAAAGCCGAGACCAGAAAATACTTGCAGACCGTCGTATAAGCGGAATTTGTGGCAGCTGCAAATTGTGTCTGTCTGTCCGCCGCCACCGTCGCCAGAAGGTGGGTAATTGAAATCCGTGTTGTTGCTGTTGCTGTTGCTGTTGTCACAGTTGTTGCCACATAGTTAAGCTTTTCGCTCCGTGACGTCGCACTGTCTGACAAAGTTTGGCCTGCAGCTACGATATTCGTTGGCTAGAGGAGGGATAGTTGTGTGTGTGTGAGTCTTGCACGTGCCCTGGCTAGACCGACTGAAAGCTGACCAACCAAGCCGGTTCCAGCGACCATGAGCCGCACACACACACCAACACACACACAACAGACGCAACACTTTGCGCTGCATTGCTACAGTCCATCCCCCCGCCCAGCCTGTTGCATTATTTGATTAAAAAGTTTACCCAAAAACTGAGTTAACTTTTTGTTTTATGGTTTTATATTCATCCCATAATGGTATCTGCTGCATAAGCCCTGCTTATGGCGAGAAAGTAAAGGAAAACTGTGGAAAGCTTTGGGCCTGGGTGTGTGTGGGGCAGATTGATCAGAGAGATTCCATTTCTCCAAGCAACTTTTATCCGGTCTGACTGCAGCTTCAATTAACTTGATGGCATAAATGCAGAGACACATGCCACATGGCCGGCCACATGCTCCACTCACCCCTCCCCACCGTGTGAGTCTCTCTCTGTTTGTATGTTCGTCTCCGCTTTAGCGAGTCATTTGCCAAACTCACCTCGCCGCAAGTGGCGTTGGCTGGCTGTCGCCTGTTAAGTGCGAAATTGGGGTCGCCATCAATGCTGCTGCCCGCAGAGTACGCGAAATATATATACACACAAAGTAGACAGATACATAGAGTGGTTGGTGTACGTACATGACTTGTCATCGCTCTGTGTATCTGTGTGTCTGTGTGCCTGTGTGTGTCGTTGCATTTGTAATTTCCTGAATTTTTAATTATGACACAGAGAGCAACACGAAACAAGCGGCAGATAGTCAGACAGCAGTCAGATGTGTCTATGTCTGTGTGTCTCTGTGTGGATTGCAGGTTAATCTGTCGTGTTGCATGTTACATTTGCCAGTTGCTAGTTTCCAGTTTGCCAGTTGCCAGTTCAAAGTTATCTAACTGTCAGGCGAATCTCCAAAGCCGCTCTAAGCCCGTCGCGCGTTCCCTTATGGCAAATCAATGTGAGCGGGGACCAAGGTAAATTCACCAACAAGGTGACGTCTTCACCACACTCGGTGGGGGGATCCACTGTCACTCTATCCCTTTCAAGCGCCTATTACGCTCTCTCTCTGAGCGTGGTGAATAAGTTATTGGTTCCGTTTGCAATGCAAACAATTTCACCTTGTCAGAAAATTCACCTTGGTGAGGAACCCGGCTATCATGGGCATGGGTGCATGCATGGACTGATAGAGAGTGGGAAAAAGGGCTTGACAGACGTGTATATAGAACTTGATGTGACATGGAATGCATTAGGGCAGGAAGAGCTCTGCGCTGTGAGCCATGTCTGAAATTGTTACAGCGAACTTAGAGCTTATGCAGGCAGTCGTCGGGTGCAGGGGGAGTATCCAGCACCCGAAAACGATTCCAGCAGCAGGTCGGGTAGTAAGTTAATTGAGAACTAAAAGCCTGGGGGCTGGACATGCCTACTCGGAGTTCCAATGCGGATTCAGATGCTCATTTTACTCCATCATTGAAACATGCTCTCCTGCTCTAATTGCAAGTGGCTGAACGTGAAGAGCTCGTTAAGGGAGTAGCATAGGCATAGGTTTTCCCTCAATGAACTTAACTCTAAGCGCTACTCCCCAGAGCAGACCAAAGTGCATAGTTACATGTGTAATATGAATGAATTGAAGTCGTCATTGCTCTCTAGCGCAATTCCAAGACAGCTTACAGCGGTGGCCTGTGCCTGTGCCATTGTGTATTGAGTTCAATTGCAAAAGCGCTTAAATGGGTCGAAGTCAAAGGTCTCAGGAGTTGCAAATGCTTTTGGCGTTGCAAAATACGATAGTTGTCCTGGCAGCCATACCAAATATCGCTCTAATCAGATTGAATTTGCATTTGTTTATGTTTTAGAATATTCAAATATAATCCTGCTCCCTAAATTACAGCTGAATTGGTTAATATTTAAACAATGGATAGATGACGCAAACGGAACATAACATAACAATTGGCGATGGAAATAATCTGTCTTACCGGGCACATGCATGGTGTTCGAAATTGATTGAATTGGACAAAGTTGCTGCGGTGGCATGCAACAGTTTACACTGATGCAACAGAACTGACGCTTTTTACGCTTCAGACTTGCAGGCTGTTCGCCATTTAATTGACATTGACAACAAAGCAGAGGTGGACGTCAATCCAATCCCTTTTTTCTGCGCTTTTTTTTTGATGCTGCAAGTTGGGTCGACTGACATGTAAGTCGATCAAATCAGGCAACAAACAAAAAACAGGGGCGAAAGCAAGCGAAAAAAAGTTTCTGCGCAGACAACAACTGGAGCCACAGCTATTTTGTAGTGTTCATTTGCATAGCTACAAACAGATGTATCAATTGGCAGTCGCAGCGCCCAAAAAGGATAGCAAGTTTGCCTTGCCGCTGCATTGGGTCAACATTGAAATGAAAACACGACTAGATTTCGGAGCGAAAAGCGATGATAGCGGCAAACACATCGATGCCTGTGTAATGGCAAATATCAAACAATTTGTGAGCTCTTTGGATGCAATGAATAAACTCATCTCATAGATCCCATGTCCAACTATGAGCAGCTATGAACCCCAGCAACTAGCACAGACAGTCATCGCACAATATCGATTGAGTTCCAATCTTATTATCTCAGCTTTTATTTTTAGCCAGCGCTCAAAGGGAATGGAATTGAATTATTTCATAACCTCTGCATTTTATGCACCTTTCCTCTCGGACGAGAATGTCGTGTGAGTGCGATTTTTGGCACGTTTTCATTAAACATTTTTCCGCATTTTTTGTGCAAAATACCGACGAAATTGACTGATGAATGGAATGGCAAGCATTTTATCATTTCGAAATAAGTAAAATGCTCTGCCACCTGATTTGTGGCCGTGGCAAGAGCTGCTTGCAAATGCAAAATGTATTCTGCCATATTTTTGGGAATTTAAACAGACATCACGCAACGAATAGCTGACCAATCTCCACGGCAGCTTCATATTGCACCTGCTCAAGTCTTGCTTTGCCTGTTCATAGGGTGAAGACATTTTTAAACCCTAAGACCTGAGCCCAATCGAAGGGAAAATTGCTTATACACCCATCTCCTTGGGCACACGTACATATTCCTTGTGTGGGAGTTTTATCCGCTCTGTCGCCTCTCTCATCACCAGAATAAATACATTTCATATTCAACGAAAATTATTGGCTTTCCAGCTGACTGACTAGGAGCTCATGTGTGTGAGGTACATTAGCGCGGCGCAGCTCCCCCCCTGCCAGTCGCAGAAATGAGTGCCAGCTGAGTGTCTCCCTGTGTACATACATAAATGTACACACATATGTACATGCATTATGGATCGCTTTAGCATAAAAGGTTTTCAGCAACAATCGACTGATTGGATATTCAGCAATGGGAACTCAACACGGAGTGCTGGCCTATGGCTGTTGCTTATTCCCCACTTCGTTTTTATGAACATATCACATATGTATACATAGTATGTATACATACTACATTTCGTACATATTTCAAAACTTTTGCCTGAGCTCGCACATGTGCGGGAGTAAGCCCGTAAATTTGGACTGTCGACAAACTTTCGAGCCATTTTTCAAGTTTTACTGCCTGAATCTCTCTCTCTCTCTCTCTTTCTCCGCCTATCCCTTTGTTGGCCCTGTCATGATGATTGTTGGCATGATTTACATGACTGCCACAACAACAAACTTTTAATGGCTGTGGCAGCAGCAGTAGAACTAGAAAAAAACGTTGCACTATACCCAGTTAAAGGTCACGAGATCTTATTCTTAATTTAGTTAAGTTGAAATTACACAAAAGAATTCGATTTTCCATCAGGCTAGCAGAATCAGAGTTGGCTCTTAGCTCAGAGTGCTTTTGATTTGTTTCAATTATTTATTGCTATTTGATATCAAGTTCCCCGTTTGGGGAGGGTCTAGCTTGGATTTTCTAGTTGTCTGCCCTTCATTGTTTATTTATTTGTAAAAATATTAAACCACTTTAATGGCTTATTGCTGCTGCTGCTCTTTCTATCTTGTTTGGAGCATTTCTTTGGAGTATTTTGATTTGCTTTGTTGGGTTTTTCCGTTTGGCTTCGCATGCTAAGTTTGTTCTGGAAGAACTTCTCAAAAAAGATGGACAACTTTCTCTGTTTTGATTTACTTTATTTGCATTCGAAAGGGGCACTTCCGAGAGCTCGATTTCTCGCCTCCCCCCAATCTCACAAATCCCTGCCATTTGTGTCTGCAGTCCTCTGGAAATAGGGTTGAAATATGTACTCGTAAAATTGTAAGTAAATAAATATTTTGTGCAAACTTAGCTTTGGATCAAATTATGATGGAAAAGTTGACCAGGCCCAGGGACCAGAAGCATGCTCGTGATTTCCCTGGTTGGCCCCGGGGCCTGTCGTGCATCCGAAGCGACGTCTTGCCATGGGGGGGCTGTGCTGTGCTGTGATGTAATCTTGTCTGGTTTCGGAGAAGAACGCCTGGAAGGGTCTTATTTAGTTAAAGGCACTGACACACATAGTTACCCACCCACGTACGTAGTTACGGGCTCACACTCGCACCTCTCCGACCTCCGACAAGATGGCAACTGAAAGTTTTCACATTTCTTCATTTTGCTCTGGAAAAGTTGCTGGAAAGGAACAAAAACTTGGCTTTGATTTTCGGTTCATAAACTGTAGTGCCAACAAGTAGTAACAAAAAATCGGGCTTATATTTTCCACCCGAAAAAGAGAGACGTTTTAATTCAATTTAGACAAGAAGGAGAAACGTTGTGAGACGCACTGAAACGTGTCAAAAATTGTATGATCTCAGCACTAATCTCTGTCCAAGCGGCAAAGTAATGCCATACGGCCGGCCACAACTGTTGCATCAATCGAGTAACAATTGCCAATTATCCACAATTCCTACCCTCAAAAAGTGCGCCCTCAACCACGTGTGTGTGCGACGACTCCTTGCTGTTACTGTTAGAGGCGAAACATATTTTCGAGACGCTATCTAAATCAATATCTAAATTGCTCTGCGTTTTGTCGTTGTCAACTTGAGATGCTCTCCCGTGCCCATCCCCATCTCCATTTCCGCCACCCGCAATTGGCGTTCCATCGATAAGGTCTCTCGCTTGCCAGTTACGGATGAAAATATCCTACACACAGGAGAGAAAACCGGAAAAACAAACACACAATACTGTGTGGGTGAGGTTCGGACAGAACTGGTTGACAGTTGAATGCAGGAATTGCCAAAGATTAACAGATGCTAAGTGCAAAATCTACAGCACGGATGCCACGTTACTGGCTGTGTTTATTATGCTTGTGTTTAAGAAGCAAACGAGTGATGTACCGCGAATATTGTTGAAGCAAAAATGAGCAGCGAGAACAGAGCCAATCGTCTGATGTGCGTACCTTGGTCTTTACGCACTTCACGAGTCATCAGAAAATCGGAATCAGAATCGGAAAATGCTGCCACTGCTGCTGTTCTTGAGTGTAAGCCTTCGCACGTCTGCCCCGATTGATATGTGCATATTAAATGATTAGAGCGAGGCAGAGCCTGGCTGTGTTAGACCTTTCAATCTGTTGTCGTTCGTTATTTAATTGGCACTTTGCCAGTTGGCAGCGGGAGTGGCCTCAGAAAGATGCGTCCACGAGGCGTATGTGCAATGTGCAGCGCAGGCTGCAGGCTGCAGGCTGCAACAACACATTAATCAGTTTATATTTCCCACATTTATTGACAGAAACCATCTGTGGGCGATGCCTGCACTGACAGCAGTGGCAAAGGATCCAAATTCCTATTACGGAAACGCAAATCGAAGAAGACAGCCTCGAAAACGGCCTCAAACGGTGCCAACAATGGTGAGTAGGTTCAATGGCTTACTCCTTGCCCCTGTCGTGACTCTTTTATGCTTTCCGCAAAACTAATTCTCTGCCTTACAGCTGGCACTGCAGCGCAGCAGCCGTCGATTAAGTGCGTGCTCGTCGGAGACGGAGCTGTGGGCAAAACCAACTTGATATTATCATATCTGGAGAACCGATTTAATCCGGAGCACATACCGACAGCCTCTGATATTTATAATGGTAAGCTTTTGCACTTGTTTTCAAAGGTTTCTCCAAGGGTGTGCCAAGGGTAAGTGTTGACTGTTGACTGCGCTTTTCAACAGGTTTACTCGAAGGTAAATCAAGTGAGACCCGGCAGCCAGGCAGCCAGCCAGCCAGCCAGCCTGGCTGGGAATTGTTTTGCTTCGGGTTGGGTTGGGTTGGGTTGGGGCTCTTGTATGAATTTTTCATTTTGTTGAAAACCAATTTGTGAACTCTTTGCGGAGTTCTACCCGTGTGCAGCCGAGTGGCAGAGGGGAGACTGAGTGAGGCACGGCTGCCGGAAGCAGGCAGAGGCAAGAGGCCAGAGGGATGGGATGTTCAGCTGCTGGATTCAGCTGGAATGTGTGGGTGTCCCGTATCCTTCTCTTGACTTTCACTACTTCCGCATTGTGAGTCTCGTTTTTATGTGCTTCTTTTTTTTGCTATTCACTAATTTTAATGAACGGAAAATTGAAAACTGAAATGTGTGTGCGTTGGAGGCTATTCAACTGAAGAGCAGCATGTACAAAAAACGCTGACAGACCCACAACACAATCGGAATCGGAAACTTCACTTCCATGGCCCGAGGTTCAGCTCCAGCTGCTGCCCCAGCGGCACTTGTGATTTGCTTTCTTCTAGCGAATAATGCAAGCACTGCTAAATCTTTGTTTGCAGCTGAATTGTATTTGAAACATTCATTTGAGCACATTTCTGGGATGCCTCAATCCCTCCCAGCACGAAATTACGCATACGCGGTGTATGCCCACTTAGGGGGCAACAATTCTGCTGCTGCTGCTGCTGCTGCATGCCGGGGGTTAGCAAGCTTTCAACTCAGAGTAACATTCCTGAAACATTCCATGTGTGCATCCATTTGGACAGGATTTTGCGCTCTCTCTGTGTCATTTTTGTGACATCTTTTGGGCATTTGGGGCTGCCGTAATTGCCCTACTCATTTATTTCAATTGTGAGGGTAGATTGGCAGGCTGACAGGCCAACAAACAGCCAAATGGCAGAGCGGAAGATCTGCCCAGACTCAATCATTTATGAATGGGAATCTGCATTAAGACGCCTCCGGGGTATAGCTGACTTTTTAGTCAGTCAGCAATTACACAATTGCTCACTTTCAGCCGGCACACAATCAGCATCAGCATCAGCATCACCATCACACACATGGAGCCAATGGCTGGCACTGCCTTTTGTCCTGGCCCACTGCATTGTTGTGGCAACACATTACCCATGACCCATTACTTTCTGATGTGACTTTTCTCCTCTAGCTCAGACAATGCGGGGAGGTACTCCTACGAGCATTTCCGCACTTTGTCGCATTTGTTTTTGATCACCCAAAAGGAGCGATCATGTTACAGCAAACAAGCTCAAGCCTTGCCCAGTGCCAGTGCCAGTATTCACTCGTTACTCGCTACTCGCTACTCGCTGCTCTCTATTACGAGTGTATCCTCCTTGTTCGAGATGGCCTTCGACTTCGAAAGCGATTTTCAGCTGAGATGGCAAACAATTTTCCAGCGTTGGCTGTGCCCTGAGTGCTTCAGTGCTTCGGTGCTTCAGTGCCTCTGTGAACTCTCTCTGAGCAAGCGAGTGTGAGTGGGTAACGAGGAAACATTTTAAGCATTCAATGCTTTGTCTGTGTGTGTGTGTGTGTGTGTGTGTGTGTGTGTGCGTGTGTGCATTGTGAGGGTGTTCGTTCTGGCATTGATTTTCACTTTTACTTTTTACAAAAATATTTCTCCACACGAAAGGGGCATCACGATGTTGCTGGCTGTAGCACAAAGGACAGAGAAGTGGTATGGATGGGATGCCACAGCACAGCACAGCACAGCACAGCACAGCACAGCAGTTCCATCAACATCAAGGCAAGTCAAGGCAAGTTGGGCGGAATAGGTTGGAATAATGTGGAAAGCGGGGCTTACTTCGGGCTCGGTTCGAGTGTGTGGGCGTTGGTCTGCCGGGTCTACCCCAAATGTATTCATGAGTTTTATGCGGCGCACAAATTAAATTTATTTTACATGAGCCCTTGGCCTCCTCACGCTGCCTGATGTTTCTCTCCCTCTGCTGCATGCAACATGCAGCACGCTGATTAAAAAATGACAGCACAAGGCAGACAAGGAGCGCCCAGCAGTTGCATTGACTGCTGCCCTGATTTACTCTTAGATGGGGCGACGAATGCAGCCCCCGAACATTATTTTCCACTCTTCTACACATGAACTGGCTGCAGAGTAGCGATGAGCTTCCAGCTGCACCTGCATTACAGCCGAAACTCTTGCAGTTTGCAGGCATGGCAACAGTGATGACAACCACAAGATAATCCAGCATCAGGCGTAATGGAATTTATTTTCGTAATCTAACATATTTATGTAGGCCACTCCAAGCTGTGTGCCAAAGCGAGACCAAAGACCCGAAAGGAGCTGGAGAGCAAATACATTTTGTAAATTTCACACATTTCCTAGAGACAAACAGCCTTGACCGAGCAAAAGCGTTTTAAAACAATTAAATAATTAAATTCCAGCTGCGTGGGCTGCCTGTGCAGATATTTGCATATTTTGCAATTAAATTGAGCCGGCAAACGGAAAACCCACACCTGATCTGAGTGGGCTCACACGCTGATTGATTGATTGATTCATTTGGCAAATAAGCAGCATCCCTGCTGTGGTCGACATTGAGCACTTATTGAGAACTTTTTATGATTTTAATTATAACTACAACCGTTTGCCTGCCTCATTGTCGCCCTTTAGCCGATGTCAATGTGAACGAGAGTCCGGTGCATTTGACACTCTGTGATACTGCCGGCCAGGACACATTGGATCCGTTGAGCGAGCTCTGCTACCCCGACAGCGATGTCTTTCTGCTGTGCTTTTCGGTGGTCAAGCCGGAGACATTTCGGGCCATACGCTCGAAGTGGGCACCGAAGTTCGAGAGGGCCAAGGCCGCCTTGATTCTTGTGGGAACCCAGGCCGATTTACGCGGCAATCTGAATGTTCAGAATAAGCTTCAGGTGAGAATTTGCTGCCTTTGGTTTGTTTCTTATAATTCAGCTGCCGCCTTGCGACTCAAATATTTATGAAAATCTGATTGGATTTGCTTTTGGCTTTCTGTTGCTCATTTTGTCTGTTTTATTTGTGCTTTCTTCCAGACAAACGGCGAGATGGCAATTTCATATGCAGACGCCTGGGATTTGGCAACAGCAATTGGCGCAAAATACATTGAGACTTCGTCAGTCACACAGGTGAGTCCATCCCACGCCATCTCCTGGGAACTGGGCCACAGAAGGCAAGGCACTGAGTTGAGGAAACCATTGCTATGGCTCTGCTGAGAGTAAATGCACAAACCAAAAGACTGCAAAGCAGCCGAAGCTGTGGAAAGAATTCCGCTTAATTCCACACCCAAAACGGAGGCTGCATTATGCGAGTTTCGCGAGTGTCTCCCTTTGATCCCCTTTGAGCTGCCCTGACACGAAACACAATTGCGTTGTTTTCGGTTCAAGCAAACGCACGGGGCAGACAGGATGTTCTGGTGACACCACAACACTTCCGAGTGAATGCCTTTGCCAGCGGTGCACTGCACTTTTTGCATATTTCCCCAAAGGCACCAAATCATGGCTGGGGCCCCCACTGCAGGTGACTGAACCGTGCACCGCGCGCGGAAGGTGACGAAGATGGATCGATTGCAGCAAATGATAAGCGGTTGCCACCGCATGCTGGTGGCATATCAAGTTGCAAATGGTTCACGAAGCATTTCGAAATTTCAATTTGGGCGGGCGACGAGCTGCGAGCTGCGAGCTGCGAGCTGCTCCTTGGTGTCGCTTGTTAATCTCATAAATTATCACAAATTGTGTATCCTTAATAAAGTTTCAATGCTTGTTGTTCCTCTTTCACAGGAAAAAGTCAAGGATGTGTTCGATGCGGCCATTTGGGAGGGTCTTGTGCCCACAAAGCTGCCGCCCACTCCCTCCTTCTGGCGAAAATTGTTCTGTTTGGCCTAGAAATCTGGAATTGCATCAATTAATAAACAATTGATTTTCGTTTAGCAGTGCTCTCAATATTTTGCATGCCGCACACAGACTGATCTACAAATAAAATAAATACATATCAAACATAATGGAAGAAGGAGTTCGGTCGCCGCAAACTCATAGACTAAGGACGAGTATTTTGAAAAGAGCCTTAACAGTGTACCAATAACCAGGACACTCCTTTTTTTTCCTTAATTTTAATTGTAGTTGTTAGTCCAGAAAGTACTGCTTGTATCATCCACATCCATTCCATCCACTTAAGCCTACGAAATGTAAGAATAAAACACAATTGTCGCATTAAACGTGGAAAGTGGCAGACATATTCGGAGATCTTGAGGGAGCTGTGCCTTCCAGTACAGAACATTGTAGGTGCCAGCGAAAGTAATAATAAATACGGAAAGTTGTGCATGTGCCTAGTACGAGGAGCACATAGCACAAGAGCAGTATCAACAAAAACAACATTAGTGTTTCGGTGAAGTTTCGACTCTCGACCCTCCGCAGAGCAAACAAAGCCGCAGCACGCACGCACGCACAAGCAAGTTGGGTTTCTGAAGGGGCTTATGGTATAGTACAGGTTGCGCCCCCTAGTAGCTGCGGACTTGTAAACTTCGTGAATTACTGAAGTGCACAACATGGAATACAGCGAATATATGCACATTTGCCAAAGAAGATTCTGCTGTGCGAGTCCATCCACCAACAATTAATGACCATAAAACTGAATCTAACAATCAAAATGCTTTCAAATACTAAAGAGAAAAATGTCAAGTAAAGTAAAGGAATGATCAAAGCAAATGTGGAGTCTCTGAATGGTGTATGGGGGGGGAAGTGTCAACACGGGCAAACGATGACAAGGGGTCCAGATACCACAGGATTGAGGAAATCCAGAGGTTGCAAGAGGACGCTCTACGCTTAAAACAAAACGTTTGGCAAGAACTGGATAGCCAAGTCTTTGTGACTAATGAAAAAAGCTTCCCGAAACTACAAAAATAAAGAAGGAGCTCTCCCAAAGGCGTTGGATTTATTTTTGCCACCTAATTTCGACGTGGTCGCAGACAGCACAGCCAGAAGCAGCACCAAGAAGCAGCACCCAGGCGGTATGCAACAGTTTTTGTGGGTCGGAAATGTCGGAAATTGGCATGGCGGCCATGCCAAGGCCGATGAAATTCAAAAAATCTTAATAAATCAATTGCTGAGTGGAGGCAGCGGCAGCGGCAGCGGCAGAGGGCGATATCATGTTTGGGGCTGCCATGCTATAAATTTATGGCTACTTACAAGAACGAAACATGGACACACACGTGCAAGTGATTGTGCGGGTGTGCGAGTCCCTGGATGCTATGGCAATAAATAAACAATTTATCAGACAAATATTTAGGGGCCTGCAATTTGTAGAAAGAACTTACGTAGAAAATACACAGGCCGAATATTTCTGTGCATGGCCCAATACTCGTAGATTGTGGCTGGCATTTGAGCGTGCTAATGATGTGATGCATATCCTTAGGGCTGCCTTTGTGTGTAGATATGCATGTGTGTTAGAGCAAGGTGGACATCCCTCTGTCCTCTCGCTTGGCACAAAACGAAATGAAGTTCAACAGATGTAAAATGTAAACTGCTGCACGCAGCTTTGGGCCGTGAAGCTGTTGAACGGTTTCCCTTTTTGGAAACTCTATCGCTCTCTCCTCCACCCCCCCTCAAACGCTTTGTTCGGTACGTGCCAGTAAAGACTTGGCCGCTAATTCACGCGCAAGGAATGTGGACCGCATCCGTATTCTCGTTCCACTGTGGGTATATGTATGTCTATGTATCTTTTTGTATAATTTACTTAGAAATAGATACGGATACACACGCTAACTAAAGCCTTGATTGCGCCTGGTGGGGGTCGCCGGGTCTTTCGGTCTTTCGGTCTCTGGTGTGTTTTTGTTTTTTTGTAGCCATTGTTCGACTCCTCGCTGTAAGCAGAAAGCTCTTGCGCGGCTAAAACTTATAATCATGGCATCATCGAAAAATTATCGTTTAACCACAGACAGCACATGTGGTTGGAATGGGAGTGGGAGTGGGAAGGGAGGAGCCGTGTGGGGAGGGGTGTGGTTGTATACACCCACATATACACTCACCATTTAAGAGCATAAAAGCAAAACGTGCTTGAAATGTGAATTACTCTCGCCCTTAAACTCTCACACGCGCACAGGCGGAAGGCTCAGGGCAGAGGGCACAGGAGCAGGCACAGGCACACGAGAAAGAGAATACTCTTTTGTGTACATTTGCAGAATGCATTCTACGCTCTTCAAGTAACGTAGTCAGTCTGTATGTGAGTGCTTCGCTTGGTGTGTGTGCGTGCCAGTTGATTTTGCTCTTTGGCTACATTTTGACTCGTAACCTTAGCTGTTATTCGCGATCCAAGGCAAACGTACTCGACTTTCGCGCTCTTTAGTGTTTTATTGCCCCCCGTTGTCCATCACTTCACTAGAGCTTTCACATCTGAAAAGGGAATGGTAACATTTCATACCTTTTCCCAATTAACAAGACAATCTCAGCAAGCCTCAGCAAAAGACACAGCTTCTGCTTCCTCCTTAAGCATTGATATCCCACACAGTGCGATGGACGGGCTCCCGTCTGTACTGTTATTACAGCGGTGAATCAAAGTCCGCACGAACGCATAACAAATAGCCCGATATATTAAGAGCAAAGAGCACGTAGTCCCAGAGGAGGGTACGACCACGCTTGTCTGCTCTTCATTGTGTTATTTGCACTTTACCGTTTGTTTTTGGTCACTGCTTATACCATCGCTAGGCACGCAGCCGTCTTGTCCACTGTTTGTCTCATAGCTGCGTTGTTGTTAGTGTTGGAGAGAGTGAGCGCAGGGAGAGCGAGGACAGATCAAAAGGGAGACAGAAACTAGAGATCTTCGTACGTGCGGGCAGCGCTGCAGCAAGGTGCTTGGGCAGAAAGAGGGAGTGAGAGCGAGAAAGCTACATACAAGCTGCAGGCAATGAGAATCTGAACGGGATGGTTCTCGATGCTCTCAGTACAGTCGTTGTGTGAAAGATGGAAACTTGCCCAAGCAGTTGTTCACAGAGAAACTCTGCTAATTGTACAACATAGCAACTGGCGAGCAACGAAGGCGTGAACCCTGACGGAAATCCCGTTCATTATTCTACGCTCTCTCTCTCTCTCTCTCTGTCCCACTGCTATACCCCATTTGGACCACCTTCAAGCAGACAAATATAAAAATAATTAATTCAACAGCTTCGAAATCAGAAGCAGAATTTATTTGTTGTTTATTTTAATTCCTATTTGCGTTTGCTTAACAAATGCAGATTAGCTATTTAAATATATTTCCACTCTCCTATTTGTGTATTTTATTTGCGACTGAACGCATTTACATGCTCGCATTCGTACTCCTGTCTACTCACGTGTGTGGTGTACGTGCGATGCGAGAGAGAGAGAGAGAGAGAGAGAGAGAGAGAGCAATGCGGAGCACGCTGATAAGGTTAATTGAATGCAAAGTGGAACGTGGAAAGTGGAAAGTGCCACCCACCCGTCTCCAGCCACCAAAGAGATGCAAATGCACAAACGCAGAGATCGGGAAAAACAAACCCAGTCGCAGATTGGCAGCAGAGGAGCTGCGAGACCCCTGCTTTCGATACATACACATGTGGGCGGGCATATATTGAAAAGTTATGAGCAGGAAATGAAACGGAAGCTGGCAATATTGCCCCACATCGAGAATGGTGGCAGGATGATGCCGGAGATGGGACCAGATGCAACCAGCATTGTGAAAAATCCAATCATCCACCATCCATTTTAGTCTGTGTGTCCGTCTGTCTGTCCGTCTGTCTGTCTGTCCGCTAAATCTGTCATTGTGATTAACTGGCAATTAGTTAGCTACAGGTACAGGTACTTTAGATTTAGATTCAGAGCAGAGCAGAAGTCGCCATTGAGAGCGGAACCACCCAGACGGACTTGGCGCTACTGCCACAAAGGACATCTGTCACGCTTCCTTTTACACCAAGCATTTTTCCCGCAGTCCACATTCCATTTTTGGCAACGTTATCAGGAGGATCTGGAACAGGACCTGAACCTGGGACCTGGAACTTTGCCTTGGGGCTTGTGTGGTCTGGGCCCTGCCTGTGGCCCGCACTCACGTTTGCTTTCTCCTCTGACTGTTCTCGTTTGACTGCGTCCAAGCGGCAGCGGGTAAGTGGGCAGCCCACCACCCGTCCGATGTAGGAGTTGTTCCTGCGAGTTGTTCTCGGACTGCCTTGAACGCTTCAAGCCCAAAGCTTTAATCGCAGCCATAACTCTGGGCCGGAAATAATGACTGCAAATCGAATTGGCTACCTAGTGCCCCATGCGCCAGGCCACAGCCAACAGCCAGCAGCCAGCAGCCAGCAGTTCGAAGCCCAATGTTCTGAGTTCCAACCAATTGAAGCATTACTGGCCTAAACAAATTGCCCCATCATCACTCTGGAGCGAGCCAAATGGCTCGCACATCCTGCACACAAAGCTGATTATTGTTGCGGTTGTGGCAGGGCTCCTGTCTCCTGTCTCCTGTCTCCTTCGATATGCCCTTACAAAGAGTCAGCATCCACGAAAAGAGGATCTACCAGTCTACAGCGACGTCTGTGTATCCTCTCTTCAGTCAATTTGTGTGCCGACAGCATTCCGGTTTCTAGTCCTATTTGAGTACTGCTGCTGCAAGGCCATTCAATGCGTCGACTAGCATTGCTTTTGGGGCTCCAGTTACGCCTTTCGGTAGGGCCATCGGTATCGGGGACAGCCTATTTCGAGTGCTTTGTCCGGCTTTGCTCAATTTCGTGGTGCAGTGAATTCAATTAGCGCCTCGTGGGATGCACTGGACGCCGCCGGGGGTCAAGCGAAGAGCACAAAAAATGAAAACTCGACAATTAGCTCGGTCAATATGTCAGAATTATAATTACGGAAATAGAAACCATAAAGCTCAGTCAGAGAGCGGACGCGCCAGTTCCTGCTGCCACTCTTGCTGCACTCATAATAGTAACACCCATAATAGTATTAATAATAATAATAATAATAATAATAATAGAAAACAGCGACAATGAGCTGGCAAACCAGCAGCAGCAGCAGCAGTAGCTCGTCTCAGTAAGCAGCCAAATTAATTAGATTAGCCTCTGCCCCGCCATCGCCATCCGCATCGCCATGGGCCTTGGTTTGGGCCACCATCAATATTAATGGCAGTTACTTTCGCAGCCACAACGCCAGCGCAGCCCCACAGTCGTGGCCATTCGCATAGAGACAACAATTGCTCAATTTGCCTTTCTTTGATGAGCTAAACGCTGCGTAAAACTTTTGAATTCGCACAGTGGTTGCTTTAGTTCCTTTATTGGTCCTCTTGCTGGTCCGTGGCATAACTTCAACTGTTGCTATTATGTTAGCCTTAGCTGTGATAGGCATTTATTGGCTTATTCTGTGCCGTTCCATTGGCGCTTCGCTGCTCTGGAACCGCTCGAAAATGTCAATTTTTAACTGTTTGCTCGCTCGGATATTTACGGATGTTCCAGCTACAGGATCGCTTGGAGCAGACACTAATCAAATTACTGAATGGCAGCGTAAATCAACTGAAAAATGTTTTAATTAAGAGACAGGGACACACACACACAGTGTGGAGAGACAGAGCAGCTCTGGAGAGTCGCTGGAGGCCACTAAATGCTCAACTGACATTGCAATGCAAACTCCACACTGTGGAAGTGAAGGAGCTGCAGCTGGGATGCCCACTGGCATGAATTACATGAGGAATGTTTACCAATTATCGCAATGCTATGGTGGCCTGAAATATGCATCAAACGTGTAACATTATGGCAAGAGGCTTGCTTTCGTTCTTTGCCCAACTGTTGATGTTCCCACAAGAGCAAAGGGTTGTACCATATTTCCCCTTTGAATTGCATGGCGCTATGGCGAATCCGATTTCAAATTGCCAACATCAGCCATTATCCATTATCCCACTTTCCGCTTGGCATGGCCAGAGCCGAAACTCTCATCACGTAGCCGAGCAAATGAACTGCAACTGACTTTTGCCACAGACTGCCTGATGGCCTGACTGCCTGCCGCTGGCTGGCTAGCACCTACCTACCCACCTCTGCCAGGAGCGTTGCTCGGGCTCCATCGTTGGCTTGGCGGTTTCAGGCGCAGGCGTCATGCGTCATGCGTCAGCCGAGCCAGTCGTCCGTTCATTCACCAAAGCAGAAGCAGAAGCAGAAGCAGAAGTTCGGCTTCGGCTACGGCTACGGCTACGGCTTCGGGGCCTATGCATATGAGTGCTGGCTGAGGACTTGGCCGCTTCAATTGCGCTTCGCCCGTTGGCCAGGTCGCACGCTCCCTGCCAGGCGCTCAGTGTCAGAGAATAGAATCCGAGTCCTTGTTGCCGGCAGTCAGAAACAGCCACGAACGAACCGAAGCGTCGTAAACTCAAGTCAGGTTTATTATCCTTCAATCCATCATCCCCCCCCCCCCCGTCCGTGGCACTGTGTTTGTGTTTGTGTTTTGTATTTTTGTTATTGTTATTGTTGTTGTTATTGGCCACCAAACTCAAGGCAAAACCAACAGGCCAACAGGCCAACAGGCGAGAGTTTATATTCACCGGTTGGCCAGTTTTCGTGCGTTTCCGGTTCGCGTTCCGTCCGTGCGTCCGTGCGTCCGTGCGTCCGTGCGTGCAATATTCAGTGTGAGTCCGGCAGTTGGCAAACAGTTGGCCATGGCGGCCAGACAGCACCGCTGCAGGAGTATGCTACGATACCAGCTGCAGCCGCTGGCTCTAGCACTGGCGCTCTCTCTGGCTGTGGCCCTGCCCGGCGCGGCAGCCGGAAATGATGTTATTTCCTTGACGAAAGTCGACTCTGTGCACGGTCTGGACAACGTGGATGCAGCGCAGTCAACCCGCCAGTCGAGACCAGGCAAAAACTTTGACTATGGCGCCTACGCGAATGGTAAGCGATGGAGCGACTGCTTTCTGTTTCATAAAATTTAACCACTCCCAGACCCTAGCCTTATCCCACTATCGACTGATCGGAACGGATCCGAATTAGAACTATGCATTGTACGCACATTCGAGCTAAGAACAAAAGCTGTTGCTGTGTGGCAATTATAATATTACTATTAATACTTTGGCACATGCACAAGTGCCACAGCAACTGCGTGTAAGAAAGACACTCAAACATGTGGCTGAGAGCTGACTAACCCGCACGGCCAAACATTTTGTTTGCACCATTTGTAAATGGAAAATGTAATTTTGCAGAGAGCACGAAATGTGTGCCACACACACACACACACGAATGGCAAATCAATTGCATTACTAATTCGTGAGCGCATTGCAACCATTTTGATGATAGGCATTCTGCCATGTCCTCCCCGCTCTGGCATTGATTTTGAGGCAATTCCGAACACAAACCGAACACACAATAATGGCACATTCAGTTGTCACTGTGTGTGGAATATATACATTTGCTTGTCCCCTACCAAAACAAATCGTATCAAAGAGTATCCTCGCGTTGCGGGTTCAGCAACCCCAAGCGAAACGTTTCAACCGGGCAACGTGCAAGTGCAACGCTCCAGTTGTGAGTAGGTGCCGGCACATGCACCTGCGTGGAAGCAGCTCGCTCTGGTTATTGTTATTTGGTACACTCGCAAGTAAGTTCGCTGGAATGAACTACTTTTCCCTTAACTTTTGTCAGTCATTCGCTCATTTGCTTAATGTGGCAATTACTCAAGCGAGTTTCCAAGGATCTGTGCTGAAAGCAGTTCGATTGGACCATTTAAGCGTATCATTAGCAGCACATTAAGCTGGGATAACTGAGTGTGGAACCAACACAAAAACTATCGCCAATGCATAGCAGTACGCTGCCTACTCCCTGGCTATCATCGTGCAAGAGCTCTTTAGCATGTACTGGCATAAATTCCATGACCCCGAGGCATGTTTAATTGGGCATAAGACGCACGACACCTGCTGCAGCCTTTGAAATTGACTTGGAAGTCGATGGAGACAATCCGAGGTGTCCAAAAAGTGTACTCTAATTATCCCGAAATGCATTGGCTGTCTGTGAATCTGTAGATCAATTGGCAGGCAGTCAGCAGCTCCATTTTTTATGCGAGCATTTAGCGTCCTGGCAGCCATTTGGGGCTAAATCCTCAGTTCGTTTTGGGCAGTGCTTTTATCGTTCCCAAAATCTCTGCAGAGTGTCCTGTCGTTCGTTTTCTCCTGCATGCATCCCCTCCGCCCTGTTGTCCTGCTGCGCTAAGCGAGATAATGCCGGAAAGCAGGAAAGCGGAACATTCAGACAGTGTAACGGCGGGAAGCGGGAAGCTGGCTGGCAATGCCTTGAACAATTTGGCACCACATTGCGTATGATTAATATAAATTGTTTGGACTTCATTCCCACCATCCCTCTGCCCATGTGCCCAGTGTGTGCCAAAGCGGAAGCGGAAGCGGAAGCAACGGAAATCCACAGAGTGCGGGCAGGGGACAGACTTGAATTTGCCAGCACTTAAAGCAATTGCTGCTTGCACCGACTACAGTGCAGCTCCGCAATTGGGTGACTGCTCCAGCTCGCTGGCTTGATTTATCCCTGGATCAGCCATGTCATCCATTACCGCAGAGACTGCTCACACGACTGCTGGCTGACTGCCTGACTGCTGGCTGACTGCCTGACTGCCTAACTGCCTGCCTGCCTGCCTGCCTGCCTGCGTAAAATGTCTATTTAGAGGTGTTCCCTTTCCTGTTCCTTTTTCCGGTTGGCGCTGCCACATGCCATGGGCCAAAATGTCACATTACTGAAAGTGCGACAGCGAGCGGCGAATGCCAGAGACTCCGCATGCACTAGAGTGCCACACCAGCCGCGTGATTGGTGTCCGTGGCTCGGTGTCGGCTGGTGCTCTGAACTTTCTTCAAGCCGCATGGCCAGCAGGAGTTGAAGTGGCAGGAGCAGCCATACACACATCTTTGCTATCATTTGTGGCTTCTCTCCTCTGGCCTCACCCTCAAAAAGAAATCTGAAAATGAGCAGGAGCGTTGTAAGACGCGTTGTGCGCGTCACACATGTAAAATGTATACATTTTAATATTACATATGCAAATATGTATGTAAATATGTACGGATACACGCACTTTGGCCTTTAACCTTTGGCCACATCAAACTAAAATAAAACGTTAGCAGCTGGCAGAGTCCTTTCCCCCCTCCCCCCCTCCCCTCCCCTCCTCTCACCGGGAACCTGCCACAAAGTGAGTGGCGTTCCGCTCCCACTGCCTGGGAATATGGTAATGACCACAAGCAAGGACATCAATCGATGATTGGGGGGGTACTTGTTTTTCTACCAAACGCTTTACATTTCATATATTCGCATTCGCAGTGGACCTGCGCCTTCCTTTGGGCGTGGGGGGGGTCCCACGCCCACGTCTGGCAGTTGAATAAAGTTCTAAAGGGTTTTTGTATTTGCATTGGCATCTTCCACAGCTTATCCGCATCGAGTTTCAGCGGCCGGGTCGGTCGGCTAGTGTATTTTAATTGTGTTGACTTTGTAAATGATCCATTCCATAATGCTTCTCGAAGCCAACACACCGTCATCATCATTCTCATTCTCATCCTCATCCTCATCGTTGTCGTTGTCGTTGTCGTCATCGTGGCCTTTGTGGCGTCGCCTCTGGTCCTTTGGACTGTTTTTAATGGCCCCATTTAAGCCGGGCAACCCGAGCACAACCTGTAAAAAAAGAAATCCAAACCGAATGAAACGTAACGAAAATCGATAATGAATTAATTTCAACGAATAACACCGCAGGCAAATGGCGCCAATAAATTTATGACTCCCGGGGCAGTCCTGTCACCGAACCGATGTAAAACTCGCCCGTGCCATGACTCCTGCTCTGTCTCTCGATTCATTTGGGTGGCTTATGGAGGACACAATTAAAAGGACACCAAATACCGAAGCTACCGAACTTTCATCCAATTCCAATAGCCCAAAACAGAAATCATCAATCAAACTTTGGCCTCCAAGAGGTACTTTTCTGTTCGATTTCGTTGGGCATGTGAATTTGCATTAAAAGTATCAAACAAGTAAATGAATAATATAATATATGCAGTTAATATGCAGTTTGTATTTGTTCCAGGGATACACGTGGCCAGATTGCCTTTGCTTCCTATGTACACAGCTGCAGTGAGGGAAACTATTAATTAGGTTTGGTCTGACTGTAATGATATTTGCTTTAGCTGGCAAAAAGTGAGCCGCATGTGAGTCATACTTGGAGGGCAATCGGGGAGGAGGCACTGAACTAAATTCAAAGGATTAGCGTTCAATTTGCTGCCACTCGGCGGTATCCAATTAAAGTCAAGTTTCTGCATTCTGTTTGCATTTCTTTTGCCTTTTTTTTTTGGCGATTTATTAGACTGAGGGAATGTTCGTATGTTCGGCCTGGGCCTGGGCCTGATTGGCACTTGTTTGAACATGAAATGCAACTGCAATTATTCGCACGACCGACGCAAATTACCAGAACCCGCAGTACCCATAAAATAGCTAAAGGTAAGCTCCAAATCACTCCATGAGTTGAGTACTATGGGTGCAAAATGTACTTTTGCGGGCACTAACCAAATGTACATTTTATTGGCACAAATGCCACAAAGGTCCACACGTGCGAGTAGTTCAGTCAGCCAGGCTAAAAGTTGCTCCAAATCGACATGTTGCAGCATTCCTTAACTGGAATTATTAGGGGCATCGCATCGATTGCTGCTTTCGATCACTCAAATTTGTTCAGCTTGCCTGTTGGCTTTGTTCGGCATGTAAGAATATTCAACTACCACTACTAATATGCATACACACACTCGTTTGTACATGTTTATGGAAAATGAGAGCATCGCTTGGCACGCGAATTTTGTGTAAAATGTTGTGTTCCGACAGCAAATTGAAGAACTAGTCTGGGTACCTAGTCGCAGTCTCAGTCTGAGTTCAAGATTCATGACCCATTCCCAGTCTCGGTCTCATGCAACGCTTGGACGTTGGCAAATTTACTGAATACAAATCGCGGCTGACTGGCTGGCTGGCTGCTACTGCTGTTGGCAGCCAAAAGAACTTTAAGTAGGTTACTTACTACACACACACACACACAAGCACAGACACTCACATACATAGAACGTGGCTTTTGTGTACACTTAAGGCTTCTTCCGTTCCGTTCCGTTCCGTTCCGCTCCAACCCACACCCAGTGGAATGGCTGGTGCTGGTGCTGGTGCTGCTGTAATTTAGGCAACTTTGCAGAAAGGCAAAAGCTGCCGCATGTACGAATAGTTTGCTGCATAATGACAGGCGCGCCGGCATGCATATTTATGTCCATCGCCCATCGCCCATCGGCCATCGCCCCAGTGCTCAGCTCAGCCCCAAAAACAGTTGCAAAGGCGTGGAAAGTCACGCTCTATCTGCATGCTAAATGTGGCTAGGAAAACGAGCGGAAGAGAGATCGGTTATGCAAGCGTCTCACAACGTTCCTTTTCGCTTGATATTATTTTGGTGCATTGATCAGCGACAAACAAATTCAATTTGCAAACGAATAGTTGGAGTATGAAGTGGGCGAGGACTGTACTCCCCGCTGGACTGGATCAATGAAGAATATAAAAATTTGCGAAAAATTTAACTGCCGCAAGGGGAAAGATTCGGGCACCCAAAAGTGTGCTGCACAACAGCTGCATACAAATCCTTTCCAAGCGTGTGTGTGTGTGTCGAGTGGAAGCCAGAGCACCACCAGAGCAGCAGCAGCAGCAGCAAAAGAAACAAATTAATTTAAATTTTTATGATGCCATAAAAATAAAGCATGGCGTGCACCCTCATACGAATATGTGGGACGGCATATGGTGGCTAAATCACACGCAGATGGAGAGATGGAGAGTGGCCAGGGGGAAAGGCGAAGTAAAGTGGAAGCTGTCGGCCATAACGTTGGTGATGGCCCCACGCT